TGCCTGGGTTGTCACGATAAAGCATCCAGCAGTAATCACCAATCATGCTTTCATTCCAAAACCCTTGATAGCGATTTTTCATCAGTTGAATATCTTGATGAAATCGTTCACCTTGTTCATCACACACTGCACCCAGATTTTCAGGAAAAAATTTCAGATGGGAATGTATAAAGTGCAACTTCAAAGACATGCGACATCCCATTTTTTGATATGAATCGAGCAGCTCTTGAATGCCTGCTTCATATTCAGGTGGCTTGTGGTTACCAAGAAAGTTAGCACAAACCCAAGTAAAGCCTTGCCAAGCTTCCTTTTCTTCATCTGTGAGAGAATTTTTGAAATAAATATCTTGTAAAACCTCTCTAATTTGAGGTCCGACAAAAATTCCTTCTTTCAACTTTGCTGCACTCATTTTTGGAAATTTTTCCACCAAGTATTGAAATCCAGCTGAATTGGATTTCCCCATTGCTTTTACAAAGTTCTTCATCAAGCCAAGTTGGATATGTAGAGGAGGTAAAAAAATCTTTTGTGGATCAACCAAAGGAATATTTTCAACACTATTTCTTCCTGGCTCATACTCATTCCTTTGGTCCCAATCTCGTTTCACGTAATGTTCTGTTACAGCGCGGCTGTCCCACAAACACAAGAAACAGCAGAATTTTGTGAAACCCATTTGCATGCCCATCAGCATGCCAATGACTTTTAGATCACCACAGATATTCCATTGATGAGTTTTGTAATTGATTGCCTCAAGGAGAATTTCATGCTTTCATGCGTCTCACTCAGATGAACCGAATGAGCAATTGGTATGCAAGGCTTTTGATTTCCCTTATGCAACAACACAGCTTTCAAGCTTCGCTTTGGCGAATCGATGAACAAACGCCATTCAGAAGGTTCATGCGGCTGTGATAAACTTTCAAACAGTCCACTGATGTCATTGCAATAGCACAATGGGCCATCAACAGTAAAAAATGTAGCTAATTGAAGATTACGCTTTCGATAGTGGCACACTTTAACGTTTGTTGCAAGCAAAGTCGTGACCCCAAAAGTTCTGCTTTTTCCTTTAATAAGGTTAAGTCTCAGACCAAATCATTTAGTTCTTCTTGAGTGAATACTTCTGGTGTTTTTTCGACATCAGGTGAATAGTCAAGATCGGCAGTATCTTGATGTTCATCACAAGAGTCCACTTCCATCTCATCTTCGACAGAATCTAATTCATCTATTGGAGGCAGTGGAACTGGTAATGAGGGGTCATGTGGAACTGGCCTCATTGCCGAATCCAAATCTGGATAAACGATTTTGTGCCTATTTTTCGATGAAAATCCAGTTGTATTAACAATGTAAAAATAACAATCAGTTACATGATCCTTTGGCTCCCTCCATACCATGGGTATGGCAAATGAAAATGCAGTTTTCCGTTTGTGAAGCCAGTCACGCAATCCACTAGAACAGCTTGTGCAAATAATATGTGGACCCATGTTTTATCTTGATCACCTAACGGACATCAAAAGTACAATTTGTAGATTTTTGACAAGTTCGCTGTAATTTTACGCCGCTGACCAGACACTGTAAATAAGCCGCATACATAACAAAAGGTATCAGGCTGATTCTTGCATTTTCTTGGCATCTTGATAAATTATTTTATAAAGATTAAATCAAACCTGAAATGAGGAATAATATCATTAGTAATTGCCACTAATCTCAAAACATAAGGCATGTCATCTCAAAAACTAGATGTGCTACAAAAAAACTGAGCACAGATTTGAAATCTGCACAAAAAACTGTATCTGGGCCACCCAAAATCGAGTCTAAAGTCTTATGTGGCTTAAGTGATGTGAAGTAATGATGAAGATGAAGTCTTATGAACCTTAAGTGTGACTCGTTTTAGTCAAAATCAAGTTTCTATCTTGAGCCTCACTCACTCTGGCACATTAAGTTAAAAATATTTGTCATAATTTCTGATTTAACTGATCATTCCAAATCTTGTACCATTCATTGACAAATTCTTCACTTTATTTGTAACTAAGTCAATATTGGTTTTCAGTTTCAAAATTCTACTTGCATTATTTTGCAGTAATGCATGTGGTTGACAAAATCACTTTGAACTTTGATTACTTGCATTTCTTTGCAGTAAATCATGCAAAAGGAGTGGTTGACTGAATAGGAGCTACTGTTAAGCCAACTTCAGCACTGAAAGTCAAGTATAAGATAAAATCAGCTACAGGGTTTGTATCAGCATAACACATTTTGTAAATATCTGTAATTCAGAGAGTCAGAAAGCAATGTGAAACAGCAAAGAGATGAACTTTTATTTGCGAAATGTCATCAAAATTTTATTATTTATATTTTCAAAATGATATTATCTTTCCAACGCTATTTTCACTTATATATGAAATTTTAACTACATTGTATATTTTGTTGTAGATTATTGCGTGGAACATTGCATCATTGATTTAAATATTGCATCACTGATTTGAACTAATTTTTTTTTACCAGTAAAATAATTCAGTATGAAAACTTTGATCTTTTTACTTTTTTTTTATGATTTTGTGTAAAATCTATTCAACTTTTACTATAGCATTTTCATTTAGGATTTTTTTTATAATTAACAATTTTCTGAGTTACTTGAATAATTATTCAATTAAAGAAAAAGTTAAAAATTATTTTATCTTACCTTCTTTAAAAATAAATTATTTTTTCAATTATTTTAATACAAAAATTTCTATTACAGAAAGTGTCTCTGAATGATAAGACACTGATTTACTGTTTCTCTGAATGATAGGACATTTATTTACTGTTTCTCTGAATGATAGGGCACTGATTTAGAGTGTAGAACTGATCTCTCAGTTCTACACTCTAAAACATGGGCCTTGTTAAACAAGACTATTGCCCAGAAAACAGGTTGAACTTGATACTTCAAGAACTGTATGGTAGACTTGAACTTTAAACCTCTTGGTTTTATGCTGAGTTTTCTACCACTGGTCAACTACCACTAGATCTTCATATCTAGATTTGAAAGACTTGCTATTATGGCAACAAAAACAACAATAACAAAAAATTTAGTTTTTTTTTTTTTTTTTTTTTTTTTTTTTTAGAAAAACTGTTTAAATTTAAGCCAGTATTTTGAAACTTGAAGTGTGCAAAATATATTAGGACAGAGCTAACTATATAAATAATTAATATTATAAATATAACATAAATAATTTACTCAGTGTGTGTGTACACAAAAAAGTCTTAAATATTTGTTTCTTTGAGAGTTTTTTTTTTTTAATTTGTTTTTTTAAAGAAAAATCTGATTTTGAATTGGTACAAAAAAAAAGGGAATATATATATATATATATATATATATATATATATATATATATATATATATATATATATATATATATATATATATATATATATATATATATATATATATATATATATATATATATATATATATATATATATATATAACATATATATATATATATATATATATATATATATATATATATATATATATATATATATATATATATATATATATATATATATATAGGGGAAGTGGAGGCATAACCGCCCCCGTAAAGTTTGGAATAATGTTAGATGAAGATAAAAACGAAATGTGTTTTTTTACTAGTTTATTTCAATAACCACATCATTAAGCTTTAAATTTATGCAATTAAGAAAAAAATTAAACGGTTTTTGAAAATGTCATTTCACAAAAAGTACAATTGGTGAAAAAAAACGGTTTTGCCCCCATTGTGAGGCATAACCGCACCCTCGCAAAAATCGTTGGGAGTATACCTTTCATGGTACATTTTCTTTACAATTTTCACAGCTCAGATTATTTGATGATTTTGTTGCATGTTTGCATAATTTGCAGGCATTCTTTGTATTTACATTTTGAGTTCTGCTCCACAAGAGAGTTCTGCCTCAGAAGAGAGTTTTTAGAAAGAATCTAGTTTCATAGCTTGCTTTTTAATTATGCTGATATCAAAAATGGTTTTCACTTGATGAAGTAATGCTGATAACACATGTCTTAAACACTAAAATCAAATATTGCTTAATTCTCAAAAAAAAGGTCTGAAAAAATATGATGTAAATATAAAATTTTTTTATCAAAATAAACATTATTTCTCAGAAACGTAACAAGCACACCTTTTGACATATGCAAAATGAAGGAAACTGTTTTACTAACGTGTGGTATGTTTTTTGCCATATTAGATATTATTTTTCCAAGGGAAATGTTGAAAAAGGATTTTGCCTCCTTATGCGGTTATGCCCCCACTTCTCCTTTATATATATATATATATATATATATATATATATATATATATATATATATATATATATATATATATATATATATATATATATATATATATATATATATATATATATATATATTATATTTTTTTCTTTTGAATAATTTTTTACTATAAAAAAAACACAACAAAACACTTTTAAGTAACATTTGATAAACTTTTAAGTTTTTAAAAACATGTTACCATAACTTATTACCATGAGTATTTAAAATAAATTTTTCAAACTGTTTTGTTATAAATTTAATCTTTTCAAGAAAAGTTATTGGAAAAGAGTTTTATTGACTATAAAGTACTGTAATAAAGCTTTTTAAGTTTTAGTCTATTTAGTTCATAAATGAAAATAAACTATTGAATTCTAAATAAATTTTTTTTTATGTGAACTTTAATTATATTTATATATAACAAAATATGATAAAACTTTCTCTTTATTCCGGCTATACATTACAAGTAATGTTTTTATCTTTTATTTCTTCCTATGCAAACACTATCTGATAAGCTTTGCCTTAAACTAAAACTAAACTCTAAATACTATAACTTATAACACTATATACTAAAATCTGATTCTCCATTCCTTTATTCTAATTGGTGTTATAATACTTTATGTTTTTTAACTCAAAAGTACTTAGATATTTTTAATAATACCTTTTTTAATAGTATTTTATCATAATAATAATAATTAATTCTTTTTAGAATTCCAAGCAAGTTGTATCTGTGATGTTTATTGTGACAAATGAAGGAAATGAAGACCTTAACCATATAGTTTCGGAAGGACAGTTACTAGAAGTATATGGGGAAACATCTACCTTGGGTTCTTTTAAAATAAAGTTTTTCTCAAAAGAAGGTGTTATGAAGTTGCGCAGTTATCTTGCATCATATGAAAGTGACATTTATGATGCAAAGCAAACTGTTATGAAAAATTTAAAGTATTTTAAAAAATCAAGTAGTGAACAGCTTCTTGGTTTGCCTGGAGATGTTAAAAATAATGATGCAAAAAATCCTAATTTCTTTGTTTATCAAGTGACATTTGAGCTACCATTTACTGTTGAAATAGTCTTTGAATCCGGCAGTCATTTAAAGAGAAAAACATCATTATCTGGAAATGATTTTTTAAAAGAACTTTCCGTTAAAGTGCAGAACTATGATATAAAGTTTGAGAAAGTTTTTAATTTAAGCAGCAAGGGTTATTCAAATGAAGAGATTTCATTTGCAAAAGCTGCAATTAGCAATATGATTGGTGGAATAGGGTATTTTTATGGAAATTCATTGATAAAAACAGCTAATTCCAAGGAGCCATACGAGTATTGGAAATCAGATTTATTAACTGCTGTCCCATCTCGCTCATTTTTCCCGAGAGGATTTTTGTGGGATGAAGGTTTTCATCAATTATTGATTCAACGTTGGGATTCGCGTATTACACAAGATGTGCTTTCTCACTGGTTAAACTTGATTAATTATCATGGATGGATACCTCGTGAGCAAATTCTTGGTGTTGAGGCAAAAAAAAAAGTCCCTGATGAATTTGTGGTTCAACATTACGAAAATGCAAATCCTCCCACATTTTTTCTAACGTTACAAGCGCTTATTGACAATGAGAAATATGATGTTTCTCCTAGTTTAATTAAATTTCTTCGTGTTGTTTACCCTCGCTTAAATGCTTGGTTCCAGTGGTTTAATATTACACAAGTTGGAAAAGTTGCAGGAACATATCGTTGGCGTGGACGCGATGCAAAGATTCAGCATGAACTCAATCCAAAAACTTTGACTTCTGGTTTGGATGATTACCCACGCGCTTCTCACCCATCATCTGATGAGCGACATGTGGATCTTCGATGTTGGATTGCTGTTGCTGCTGGTGTCCTTGCTGATATTGCTGATATAATTGGAATAAACTCAAAAAAGTTTCGTGAGACTGAAGTTTTTTTGAAAGATAATAAACTTTTAGATAAATTACATTGGTCTGAAGGCTTTAATTCTTATGCAGATTATGGAAATCACACAAAGAATACCAAACTTGAATGGGTGATGGTTGGGCAACCACCACAACAGCAAAGAAAGCTTTTAAGAGTTATCAAAAGTGAGCCTTCTTTAAAGTTTGTTGATGAATTTGGATATGTGAGCATTTTCCCATTTTTATTAAAGATTCTAGAGCCTACATCTTCTAAACTAAAGATCATCCTTGATGATTTGTATAATCCAAAGAAACTATGGACACCATATGGTTTGCGATCTTTATCAAGTTCTGCTTCTATGTACAATAAACGGAATACAGAGCATGATAAACCTTACTGGAGAGGCCCAATATGGATAAATATCAACTTTTTGGCTATAAAAGCTTTACAGTTTTATTCAACTGCACAAGGACCGTACATGGAGCTGTCTCAGCAAATCTATAAGGAGTTAAGACATAATATAGTAAGCAATGTATATCAACAGTACAAAAAAACGGGGTATATTTGGGAGCAGTATGATGACGTAAGTGGAGTGGGGCAAGGATGTTATCCATTTACAGGGTGGTCTGCACTTGTGACATTAATGATGGCAGAAGAATAGCTTATTTAAAGAAGCTAAAGAACATTAGACTAATTTTGAATTTGGACTTGAATTTAATTGGATTTGAATTTGAACCATTGAATTTGGTTTCAAATTTTTTTATTGAATTATATAACTTTGTAATAGTTTTATATATATATATTTATTGAATTTTGTGAGAATTGGCTGAATTTTGTGAGAACGGCTGAATTTTGTGAGAATGGCTGAATTTTACATTTTATTAGGTATAAGTTTTACAAGTTTAGAAATAAATTTTGAAATATTTGTATTATGGCGCTTAGATACTACCAAACTTTTCACATATAATAGTATATGCATTTATAATTGTATTTATTATTAGCTGTTATTGAATAATCGTTATTATATTTGTTATTATATTTGCATGTAACTAATAATAATCGTTATTATATTTGTTATTATATTTGCATGTAACTAATAATAATCTTTATTATATTTGTTATTATATTTGCTATATAGTTAACATTAATAACATATAGTTAAACTATAGTTTAACTACTAATTTAAAAAGTTTAAAAAGTTTTGAAAGATAGAAGTAGTATTATAATACTATTTTTTCACATTTTTTTGAACTATTAAATAAATTTAATTTATTTAATCGTGTAGAATTTTAATTTTGCGTTATTAAAAAAAAACAATTTTGTTTTAAGTTCATCTCAGTATCTGTGCGTGTGTGTGTGTATATATATATATATATATATATATATATATATATATATATATATATATATATATATATATATAAAATATATATAACAGCGTTGACCGTATTTGGGCACCGCCCAAATTAAAAATCGAGAACCTTTTTTTTTTTTTATGTTTTTTATGGCAAATATTGTTTTTTCATCGAATATTTGACAATATTCCCGCTAAATTTCTCTGGGAAGGAGGGATACTGCCACCCTTATCTTTTTCCTAGAAAAGCCCCTGATATATATATATGTGTGTGTGTGTGTGTGTGTGTGTGTGTGTGTGTGTGTGTGTGTGTGTGTGTGTGTGTGTGTATAGATATACATATATATATATATATATATATATATATATATATATATATATATATATATATATATATATATATATATATATATATATATATATATATATATATATGTTTATAACAGGTCTTAATTTTCATAAATTTTAAAAAGTTCAGTACAGTATGGGAAATTATAGAGAAATTGACTCGTAAGTATTTATATATAGATATTTTTATTGTTATATATATTAGGGTGTGTCATTTAAAAAAAAATTGATTTCAAAAAAGTTAAAAAATATCAGGATTTTATATATAAATAAGAAAAATAACTCTAAGTTTTGTTGAATTTTAGCGCTAGCTACATTTTTTTAAATTTTTAATTTTACTCTTTGACTATTCTACAAACTACTTGGTGAGCACCCACAGAAAAATGTTTAGCTGTTTTGAATAACTTTTTTCTGCCTAGAGTCAAACAGTTTTATTTTTAATTTCTTTAAGTATTCTATTTATTTCAAAAGTGAAAAAAAAATTTGAAAAATTCTGCTTATATGTGTTAAATATGTAACAATATCATCATAAAAACCCTTATATTTTGTGCAAAATACATATTATTTTTTATTATTATTTATATAGTAATTTTTACAAAGTACATTGTAGGGCTTTTTACACTTGAGGTAGTTTGGCACCCTCTATTGTTAGATAGCCCTATAGTTTTTGTAATTCTTATAACACAAGCTTTCTCATAAAATAAATTCATTTTAGGCACATATTTTTGTCTATATAAATAAAAATTGTTATGACAACTAATATTATTTTAAAAAAAACACTACTATTTTATTAAAATAATAAGTAATCTATTGAATATTAAGTGTTTATTAAATATAATAGTATAAAACATATAGGTTTAATATTAAAACAACAACTGAATGTTATACTTTTTATGCTTAACAAAAAAAAAAAATTAAAAAATTACTATTTTATTAAAGTATAGCTTAGAAGTTCCATCATGTCTTTCTTGCTCCTATTAGCAGACATCAACTCTCTGCTAATGAATTGGGCTCTTATGTGAGCTTCTCTTCTTTCTGATGTGTGGACATGTCCTGCAGCTTTTGTGACAAGCTGTACACACTTCTCAACTAATTGTGTAGGTGAACTCTAATAGGGAACAACCATTGGGTTATTAACTAAATCTGTATATCGGGAGATGTAAAATTGCATGTCAAAGATGGTTCTGTTATATTATTGCTCCAGTCTATCAAACTAAAAAGATCTTTAGCATCAATGTTAATACCCGGTGTTCTTCGATGTTCATGATATAAACACAAGTATTAGTTGCTCATGATATTTTTCATGAAGCTACTTTACTCTCACTGCATATCATAGCTTGTAAAACAGCTTCTGAATGCGCATACCAAGCTGATCTTTTAATTGTGGGCATTACAAAATCAAGAACTGGTTTCCTCTGGCTTCTGAGGAATTCTAATTGGTATAAAACTTGTCTTGGTCCCTCAACCCAACATGATTTAACTTTTATGTTAAACCAGTTTGGAATATAAACACCTACAATAAATTTGACAATCTATTTAAGATTTAGAAGGTTGGTGCCATATAGGCCTTGCTGAGAAACCCATATCCTGCAAAATCTTAATGCTTTTGTGAGCCACCTGCTATGGCAAACAGGTCCTATCTCTAGCATTGCTAATTGCTGAGGTAAATCACCAGACCTTATTGCTTTTGTTATTATGTAAGCATAGCTCTGATCAGAACTGAAACCTTTTATTACTTTAGGACTTAGAACAATTAATGCAGGCCCAACATCAATTTTTGTAAATCTGGGATTAATTTCAAGACTTGTTGCTGTATTTAACATTTTTCCCAGTATTCCTCACCACTTATTTCCACATTTTGTTGTGCCGTCTAAGCTTATAATTAAATGTCTTAACCCTAACTCGTTTGTGTGAAGATCACACACAATCCACACTAATCTCTTTCTCAATTTTCTTTCCACCCATTGCATCACACCACCTTCCCAACCAGTATTTACATTTGTACTGTCTCCTCCTATAGCTTTAAGTTGTGTTCCTAAATTTCTTTTCACCAACCAGTAAACCAAGTGGTCTGCAATTACTTCAGCCTGTTTTCTGTGATCAGTTTTATCAGGAACAAAATGAAATAGATATTTACCACTTGGTTCAGTAACAACAGAGTAATGTTCTTTCTTAAGAAGACCAGGGAAATATCTACCATCAAATTCTGTTAATACTTTTGTATTATCTTTCCTGCCATCAAAAAAAATATAGGAAACCACATTATTTTCAAGATCTTTATTAAATTTATTATCTAATTCGATTGCTAACTTCTTTTGCGCCCTTTTAACCTTGCTGTGATCAATAATCATCGATGTATCATTCTTTGTTATAGTTTTTACATCTATAAGTGCTGCTGTCGCTATTTCTACAGTTTCTCGTAAGTGTGATCCCTCATATTAGCAAGTGCAATGTTTGTTATTTCCATTCTTTTATAAACCTTTACAATATTATTTTTTCTTTTGTTTTTTCAATCTAAAAAAATTAATACAAGACTTAAACTTTGTGTTATTATCATTAAGTTTATGGTTAATAAAAAATCTAAAAAGTAAAAAAAAGATATTGAGATTTTTTATAAATCACCTTATCAACATTTAATTTCTTTAAAAATAGTTATATTAGAATTATTTACTTACAAACATATTTTATTATTACTTGATTAATCTGTGCAAGGCAATTATAATCTTCTGGAATCATTTGGTTGAGTTTTTTTTTTTTTTTAGATTTTTTAACATTCATTTCTAATTTCTGATACTCCTCTTTTTCTCTTTACAACTTGTTTTATTATTATTATTGTTTTTGATTCTATTGTGTCAACTCCACCAATATAGTAATGGGCAAAACTTCCAACTTTGGCTCTCTGTGACTTGATAAACCTGAGTTCTATAACAGGAATTTTGTTTTTGCGTACACACATACATTTAATATGCACTTGCTTTTTGCAGCCTTGATCACAACCATACTCTGAACATTACATTATTAAACATTTACAAGATGAAATATCAACAAGTTTGTCAATTTTTGGAATGAAACTATCCTTTATTGATTTTTTTGCGTTTTCAAGGCTACCTTTAACTCCAGTTTTCCACAGATACTTCAGTTCAGCTTTAATACTACATTCTTTTATTACTACTGGATGTAAAAACTTGCAATTAGCTTTTTCCCATTGAGCAGATAAAGCAAAAGTCATATAATTAACTAGTTTATCGACAGTATAGTTTCTTTTATTAAGGTCACTAGTCTCTCTTAAAAATAATCCATATCTTAAAATGTCCCTTGCAGTAGAGAGCTCAGATGGTAAAAGGGGTTTTTCCTTTTCCAACATATCTACTTAAGTGAGTAGCTGATAAATTTCTTGTGATTTTAGGTGCCATTATTTTTATTAAAATATATTTTTTCAATAATCCAAGTAATTTTATTTTTAATTTATTTTTATTAAGCTAAGTGTTTAAGTTTTGAAAATATCTCCTAATAGGTCCGAAATAAATTTCTTTCACTTAAAGTTAAATATTTAGAAACAAAATACTTTTTAAATGAAATACGTCATTATTTTAACGATTTTCAAAATATTAGCAAATTAAATACATAAAAACCCAAAAAAACGTAGCTAGCGCCTAATTTAATTAATTTTTAAAAGTATTACTCCATTTCATTTATGAAATTCTACCATAATTTCACTATAAAATTTCTTTTTTTAAAAATTTTGGGTTTTAGTCATCAAGTTGACACACCCTAATGTATTTATCAATTTTTAAATTTTAGAGGAGTTGTACTTTATGTTAATCTTTGCAACACTAGAGCAAACACAGTTCTTTGTAACATTAAAGCAAACACAAGTCTTTATTTTTTCTATATGTTTTTTTTTTAAAGTCACAAATCTTTGTTTTCTCTAAATAGTTAATTTTGTTTTATAAATTTAAATATTTTTACAGACCCGTACAAATGCGGTTGTATACATTGACTAAGTATCAATTTGTTTTGGTTTTTGTTGGGTTTCTTGTTGCTTTTTTGATGATGTTTCTTATTGGGATATTGGGACCATCTGCTATTGTCAATAATATTAAGACAGCCAAAGATCTGGGAGTACCACCCAAAAACCTTTTGGTAAGCTTGTTATGAACTAAAAATAAAACAAAAAATTCAACATTTAAATTTTTTATGTTATAATTTTTTTTAAATATTTTTAATATTTTTTTAGTAGCCAATCATCTTTTATATTGTTTTGCTTTTGTTAGTTGATTATTTGATCTTGTTTATAATTTAGACTGGACCATTTGTATTAAATAGTGGAATGTTGACACATTTCAACCAAGAGTTATGGTTATTTTGTCAATTCCAGTTGACTGGATTTCCATCAAATAGTAGTATGTTCTCTAACAGATTAATTAACATTATAATTGTGATTTCCCTTTTGTTGTTGGGTTTTTTTGTGTTTTTTTCAAGAGCTTTAGGCTTTATTTTTTTGTAAATTTTTGATATTTTTTTAAGTTATATAGAAAGAAATATGGTACTACAAAAATATAGATTTCTATAAAAATAAAATTAATTACTCATAAATTTCATTTATCCATTTGATGTAGTAGGTTTTTGTTAACCTTAATAATGTTGAAACCTCTTATAAATTTAAATAGATATAAATGCTTACCTAAAAATTTAAATAAATTTATGTCTATTTAAATATGTGCTTATCTTTTAAAATATTTAGAATACAAGTTTGAACGAAAGTTCAATATTTCGACTCAACTCATGGGCATTACAAAAGATACAAGTTACAAATCAGTTACACATACATTTCAAAATGTAACAAACCTTTTAACATGTGATGTCAATGTAAGTATTTAATTAATATTACTATTTTTGTAGAGTGTTTTTTATAAGTGATTTTTCAGATTTTCTAAAAGAAGAAACTTTATTTTAAAAAGGAAAATCAGATTTGTTCTTGCTAATTTACATCTATTGCTTGTATTATATATATATATATATATATATATATATATATATATATATATATATATATATATATATATATATATATATATATATATATATATATATATATATATAATATATGTATATATATATAATATATATATATATATATATATATATATATATATATGTGTGTGTGTGTGTGTGTGTGTGTGTGTGTGTGTGTGTGTGTGTGTGTGTGTGTGTGTGTGTGTGTGTGTGCGTGTGTGTGTGTTATATAAGATATAATAAAAAATATGGATATATTTTTTTCTTATTAAGTCATGCAATTCTATTGTCTTATATCACCTTGGAACCTTGGATTATTCCTCATATTCTGGAAAAATCTTTTTTTATGGACTTCATTTACCAAGAAGTATAAAAGTCCGGAATGTTATATTTTCTGTATGAATTTTTTTAGATTTGTTTTATAAAACACATATATGTAGAATATCTTTTTTCAAAACTAGTAATTTTAATTTACAGTTATATTTTTTTTATGTATTTTTTATAGTATAATGCTTTGAATTTTTTTCTATCAATATGTGATATTTGTAATTTACATAATTGGTTGGATAATTAAATGTTTTTTGTTAATTTTTTATTTTTTGGCTATGCAACATTTTTTACTATCTAAGCTAAACTTAGGTTGATCAAGTATTTATTTTTTATAATAGCATCTAAATTAATGTTAGCAGATTGATCTGTATTATGGTGTTTGACCATTCTCTTTGTTTTAGAAGGTCTTATCCACTGGATAATGATAATAAAAAATATTTATTTTATGAAATAAATATATATGTAATTGTGTCTAACTGTGTTTAAGTTTACATATTAAAATAAAAGTACTGAAAACAGTTTTCTCAACTCATTCTCAGTCTATTTTAGGGTAACTCCTAAAATAGACCAAGAACAGATTTTAGAGTCAATAAATACTGAACCATTGTTCTATTGGTTTAGTATTTAATTGAGTTTTACTCAATCTGAATAGCTTTACTAATTAAATGTTTTTCCATTGTAAATAAATTTACTAAATCACCCCAATCTAAGTTACATCATTATAAACAGTTCGATTAAATATATTGGATTGAATAAAGATTAGATTTATTTTGCTTTTTATTAATCAACTCATTAACACTAGAGTTAGTGTTTTTTAACTTCTTCAAAACATAAATTATCAGTTATTTAATTTTTACATTACAATAATCAGTTAATTAACTTTTACATTTTTTTTAATTTTTAAACTTTTTTTTTTTAAGATTTGATTTTTCAAATGAAGGTAATGTCATTCTTATTTTTAGTAAAAGAGACATAATATTTAGGTATATTTAAAAATACTGATGGAGGATGAACCAGCCTCAATATTCCGCAGTATAATTTATTCTAAATTTCGTCTGGTCAATGTTAATTACAAGCACCACTATATTTTGTTTCAATCCAATTTAATCGAGAGATACTAACAAATCATTTACTTTGTTTTTATTTATTATGAGCAAGTATACATATGCTTTATGGTCTGAAGACTTATAATTCAAGTAATAGTGTCTTAAGGCACTTCAAAAACATCAATCAGTTAACTAAATTGAATTTAAAATAAGGATATTTCTTAACAAATGCAATGTATGCAACCTATGCCCAATAATTCTGACTAAATTTTATGACCAATTTATAAGAACTTTTAAATATTAGTTTTTAGTTTAAAAATGTCATGCGTGGTATCAAGGTTTTTTCTAAAAAAAAAAAAAAAGCAAAAAATAAAATAAAAATTAAAACTTACTATTTCTTCTATAGCTGTAATATGTCTTATAAATACCCACTCAGAAACATATATATTGTATATATATACATTTTATATCACTCGTAAAGATTGAAACTTCAATGGTTTGTGGTTAGTAAGAAAGATGGTCACACCTTCTTTCAGTATTTAGTAGAAAATTTAGTGTGGAATGTGGTAACTCATATAGTATAAGTTATATCTGATAAGAAGAGACAATTGCTTTCATGCAAAACAGACTTTAATTAAAAAATGATTAGCAAGAGATAAAAAATGTACAAACATTAAATCAGTAGGCAGAAAATAGTAAGAAAAGAAACTGATAATACAATAAATGCAATTTATACTAATAGCTTATAACCACTGAAACGTATAAGACAATAGTAGTTAGTAAAGAAAATAATTAGTATAATCAGTATAACTGGTTTTTTAAAGGCATTGTTGTCACATCACTTTTGAATATCACTTTTTAACGCTTTTAAGTAGTGGAATGCTGTAACTTTTAAGCACCAGCTTTCATTCAAAAAAAACTTTGCACGGTATCAAGGTCTTTTTTTAAAAAGGTGTGACCATCTTCTGTAAGTCTGTACGACTGGCTTTTCAAAAGCATTTTATCATGTTGCATTTTTTATAAATAGAAACTGCTGAAAAAATTTTTTTTTCAAATTGTACCAATCTTAAATTGGATTTAGCTTCAAACCTTGGCATAGTAGCACCACCAAAAAGTTAGTGTTTCATCAAAATCATTTTGACTTTGGAATTCATCATGGTAATTTCGGTCAGTGTGCAAATAAGTGTCAAATGGTATGGCTGATATCGTAAAAGTAATTAAAACTATTGGTTGTATTACACCTGTTGTAAGCTTTTATTTAAAGAGAGAACTAATTGCAGCTGTTACCAACTGCCAGAAACCAAATTCAACTGCCTGCAACTAACTATTTCACTATGGATGGTATAATTATGTCTAACAATAGTTTTTTTTTTTAATTATTTAAAACATTTATGACCAAAATTAACAAAGTAGAGCATATGATAGAACCACATATAATTTTAAGCCATTTAAAATTCCAAAGTGTAGTTAGAACAGTTTTGAAAGCTAATTAGGCTTTGAAATAAATGAAAGTGCTGTTTAGGGTGGTTACGAACAAAAGTATTTCCAATCGACTAATTTATTTAACTTGGTGGATAAGTTTTTATATTTTAAAATTTTTGCTCTTTTTTTTTTTTTAAACTAAAAATATCAGAAAACTGAACATAATTAAGTTTTAATTAAAAAAAAAAAATTTAATTATCTATTCAATTTTTTTATAAGTTAAGATAGTTAAAAAAAGGAATTTAAAGAATTAAAAAATTATATAACCAACAAATGAGTTGCATTTAAAGTAAAGTTTAGAACAAATTTATTATTTAATAGTTTATTTGTCTACTTAATTACTTTTTATTATAACTTTTTCAGTGTTGAGAAAAAAATATACAAAAAGAGTGCCTAATTTTTTTTTTAATATTAGTCATTGTAAGTACAAAAAAAATTATATTAAATAATCTTAAAAAAAAAAAAAAAAGGCAAAAAAAGGTTTAAAAAAAAAGTACTTTTAGGCCGTGTGCCGCTCCTAAATTTTTTTAAATTAAAAAAAAATTATGCTGTTTTATAGTTGTGGTCATTAAATAAAAGTTAACTTAAATATGGAAGAATGAATGATGATGAAACAAAGTGATGAGTTACCAAACCTGCAAATAGGTTTTTTGAAATAATGAAATCTAATTATCAAATCAGTAGGGGGAGTTACAAAGTTATAAATTCAGAACAGCACCTTACATCCACACTCTGATGATATCTTGTCTATTTACTTCCATTTATAAAATTTATAAAACTATTGGTACATTCTGTTACAGTACAATATATTTCCATATCTGTATTATTATTAATCTGCTACCAAGATTTTAATAAACATGTTCTTCACTAAATTTGCTGATGAAATTGACTTTTTCACATGTATGTTATTAATAAGACCCTCACTCAATCCACTGTATTCATTTAGGATAGCTAATTAAAAAATTTTTAATATTGAAAATATTGGTTTTAAAAAATTCAATGCATGTTGTTAAACAAAACAGCCAAAACATGTTAAACAAAACATGTTAAGTGATGATACATATAAGTATTTATAGACCATTTATGTTCATATAATAATTATTATAAATTATTATAGTTAATATGATTTCATAAAAAGTTTAATAATAAATTAATTATAATCTTAGTTCAGGTATTTTGAAGATCAGTTTACTCAGATGCAAATATGGTTTCGCTTTGCATTTCTTGTTTTGTCTTTCACAGTTACTGTAAGTATTTTAAAAAAAAAATAATAAAAAACTTTTAAAATTAGCGTTTTCATAGTGTTTGCATGTGTTTAGATGTGTTGTAAAATATATAGCTAACACATTTTGGTTTTAAAACGTTTTAGTGTTTGTACATGCATAGCCTTAGAAGGTTTCCTGTTCATGACTGGTGCATAGAGCAAAAATGGTTGTCTGCACTTCTGCCTCTTTTACTTTTATACAATGGTAATCTTTTAAAATTTTAAATGTTGGTAATATATTATGTAAAATAATTTATTAGAAACATTTAAATTGTCATTTTTATTTAGGTTTATTAATAAAAGAAAGAAAAAATATATTAATTTTAAAATCTTGTAATTATTTATTATAAATGCTGTTGTTGTTAACAACAAATCATTATTTTAATATAAATATGATGTTTTCTTATTTTAGATCCATTGTTTCCTCTTAATTTTCTTGTTTCAAGTTGGGTACCAAGTTGTTTTGATATCACCTTTCAAGCATCTTTTCTTGCTGCAATACTAATGTTTTGGTTGTGTGCTTTTCATGGTATTGGACAAGTGAGTAAATGTGTATGTGTGTGTGTAAATTGTGTTGTGTATTTTACAAAAAAAAGCCTTAATGTTCTTAAAGAACAAAGCATTAGCAAATTAGTAAAAAAATACTTTTTTTAATTTAAGCTTCAATGGTCATTTTACTGTCAGAAAGAATTTTTTTCTCCTAATAATTCTATATATAAGCAAGCATTATCCTGATAAATATATATAAAGCACGCATGCACATTATAAAGATACCTATATATTATATATGCATAAATCTGAAATTGGAATAACTACAGCTTCCAGGTTTGTGATGATCTCTTTATATTATTGCTAAACTTAATAGTGCTGTTGTTAATAGTGTTAATGTTCCTTTGAGTGTGTTGATCATGGCAGCCAGCTCTTGCAACCAAGGTAATGGCGAGAAAGAGTCGCAGTACTTTTTTTTATAAGAAAACAAAACAAAAGTGTATGCAAATAACTAACTTATGTACACTTCAAATGTTAAAACATACTAAAACATGTATCAAGTTTTACAGTTTTAATTTCACTTGAAAATTGCATAGTAGCAATATTTCGTTAATTTTGATCTATAGTATTTATTTCCATTTTATCAAGTCTTTTATTTATTATATAGTTTTAAAATTTTAACTCAGTGAACTAACAACTCAGAAAACACGCCTGCGTGGCTGAGTGGTTAGTTTGCAGAGCGCCATGGTAGTAAATCCTACTACTTTTTTGTCTCTAAATAAGCCCAGCTTTATTGCATAGCATCTAATGTAACAATAAACAAATATGTTATTTGAAAATGTAAAAAATCCACTTATATAACGTTTTATATAGGATTTAAGAAAACTTTTTAAATAATTACAAGTCTGTTTTGCTTATTCTGTTTTGTTTTGAATTTTTGAATTTATGTTATTGTATTTAAAAAAATTGACAAAATTCAAAAAATACAAAACATGTTGTCTCATCCAAGTGCAAAGTTTAAAAATTCTATGAGTGTAAAAGTGTTTAGCATAAGTTGAGTTGGCCAGGCGTTTATTGAACAATCGTTTATAATATACAGTGCTTTGAAAAAAAAATAAGTGCAGTAAAAAATTAAGTATATATTTTTTTTCAAAACATCATAAAATCCCATTCATATTTCCTAGAGACTTAATTCTCTACAACTAAATGTCAATAACAAGTTCATATATAGTTACTATTTTTAAATAATATACTTTTTCAAAGGAATATAAAAAGCATACCGGAAAAGGTTGTAAAAAAAAACAGGCGCACAAACTTTTTAATTGACTTCCATTCTGCTTTCTTGTCAACCCAATTGTTATTCAAAATTATTTAATTTATTTATGTTAGTTTGACAGTTTCCCATAAAATGTTGGATAAATTACTTATGATGAACAGCTTAGTCACATTTAAAGCCTTTTTGAATAATTTGATAAGGACTTAAAGTAAATATATATAAAAATGGGTTAAAAAACAGTAAAAAAAAAAAAAAAAAAAACAAAGTGGCAAATAATAGGTATGAAGGATGGCTCAATGATCAGTAATAGAGAAATAGCAAGACAATTAAAATTTTCAGAGAATTGCGTCAGATATATTCTCTAAAACAACAGGTGGCACCCAATGCCATGCAAAATTAAGGTTAAAAAAATTACTGTCCGCAAAAATAATCTTATATTTGGTCAAGTTAGCCAATCCAATGTTAAGTAATTGTAAACTCACCAACGTATTCAACAAAAACATATTTTGTCAAATACAGTTACAAGCATTTTACTAAGGGAAAAAATTGGTGTCTATGCAGTTATAAAACCTATGTTGACGGCCAGAGACTTCGGCTCACAAGATTTAGGTGGTGTAAAAAGAGATTTAGGTGGTAAGCGGAAACAAGTAATTTTTTGTGATGAAAGTAACTCTGAAGTAATAAATAGAAACAGGAAATTTCTTGTTAAAAGATTTCGGAAAAGTATAGTAATTGCTTTGTTGTACCAAGGTATTAAAGTGCCGGCATTTGGTATTTGAGCCATTAGCATTTATTGGTTGAATCAACCAACATATGTTTAGAGAGACACTAGAGAATGGCATGGTTCTATCAGTGGACATGCTGATTGATAGAAACGAATGATGGCGATTTCAACAAGCATGGATAAAAGAAAACAAAGTAGATTTAATGCCCTGGCTAGCTCGATCCCTAGATTTGAATTCAATCGAATCTATTTGGGCCTGGACGGACAAAGAATTAGTAAATGTGTGAATATGATTCATAAATAGCCTAAAGCAAGGATTAGATACCATTTGGAGAAAAGTTCCAAATGAAATCTGAAATAGGTAAAAGGTAAAATCAATGCAAAAAAGATGTGCTGCTTGCAAAAAAGCTTGTGGGGTATATTTTAAACGCTAGCTTAGATGTTATTTTTGTTGCTTTAATTTTTTATATATTGCAGATTTTTATTGATATTTTTTGTTATTATGTTTGATAATGTTTTTATATACAATTTTATGTTTTTAGTATGCCATCCATTATGCAAGATTTGTTTAAAAAAGATTTTTCTTGCAAATAAAATAAGATTTGTTCAATATCTCCTTTAGTTTTCATTTTATAGGAGTTTAAATATGCTTTAAGCAACAAAATTTTTCTGCGCATATTTTATTTATTTTTTGAAAACACTGTATGTATTACATGAGAAAACTTTAAATTTTTATTTTCACAATCAGAAGATTTTGTTTGCTATGTATATTTTTTTGATATGATTGCAAGATTTGAAAAGTTTCAAAATTTATTACGCATCAGGGAGGATGATAGCGCACTTAACCACTGAGCTGTCGAAGAAATGTGTCTAATAAAACAAACCATTTTATAAACCTCATATAAGCTCTATGTATGTGGAAAAGGTGCCCATGTTAATTTTTTTCACTCTTAAAGCAATTTTTAAGAATGAATTATTTTACTAAAAATTATTTAAATAAAGAATAGAAATAAAAATGATCAGTGTGGAGATAAGAATAAGTATAGAGATGATTAGTTTGGTGCAGAACCATGATATTTTATGGCTCCGGACAGCTAGGATATATAAATAAATAAAAAGTATAGAAAAGGTCGTTGTGGAATAGACTTACAAAGACCCATATTTTTATAGGTCTGATCAGTTATTTTACATATATTAGAAATCTAATAAGGCTATTTTTTTTTTATATATACAAAATATAATTTTTTATATGAAGCGTAACTTTTTATGCTTCATATAAAAAATCAAGCCTACCAGCAAAAGATGATGCGTTGTATCAGATCGTGCAGTGTGTGCTTGTAGCACCATTCGCATAACAGTTTGCGTGTAATAAATCAATTTTAAAGCAATTTGTGAATGTAACACCTTAAGTTTATAAATTGATTTGCTGCTTTAATGTTTTAAGGTATTTTTTAAAAAATTTAAAAATTTTCAATCATCGAAATATTTTACATCTCGCAATAAAATAAATTTTCAAGTAGCACTTTCCTGAAGCAAATATTTTTTTAGGTCATGGCTGCTTTCGCTATGATTAAATAACCTCACATATCCTATTAATATAATGCAATAATCTATAGTTTGTCACTTTCTTATGAAATGATGATATATTAAGAAATCATAAAATAGTTATATTACATTTTTTTAAAAACCATGATATTAAATTTTATATTTATTTTTAAGCTAATTTGTTTGCTTTTGATGTTTGTAATGCTTTATTCTTAAATTGAATATTTTGAAATTTTAGGTTATTTTATGACATTACTGTTATATATGCTATGTGTTTTAATTTACATATGGATTGTAACAATCTATATGTAACAATATGTAATAAATTATTTAGGGATCGTCTATAAAGTATATACGCTCGGAGGGGAAGAAGAGGTCTGCAAATGGCATATATAAGATGGGAGGGCAGTGGGTCAATTATAAAAGAAAGGAGACACTAAATTAAAAAAAAAATTATAAAATGTTAGATAAATAGGTTAAAAGCGTAGGTACTTTTAGGGAGGTATAGGGTACTCAAAAAAGTGTATTGCAAAATGTGACAGGGGGGGTGGATGAAAAAAAAGCGTACATGCTTTATGGACGACCCCTTACTTTATTGTAAGTTAAAAATTCATTTTTAGCTAATATTTAGTTAGTTTTTTTTTTTTTTAATATAAAATTTGAACTATTTTGTCTAATTTTTCTGTTTACTTAGTTTATTTCTTATTTTATTAATCTTATTTATTAACTTAGTTAAATTTTATTTTAAATTTTAAAATAGTTTACCTATTTAATTATTTAATCTTTTCTCTTATATTTATTTGTCTATTATTTATTTTTTTATGTTTTTAATAATTAAACCAATTTACTGATTTAGTCAGAACGCCATCTCATTCCATTTTACTTACCTAAATTTATTATGATTGGAATAATATGGGTCACATTATGTACACTACTTGGATGGCAAAGGTATATTCGTTTACTTTACTATATAGTAGAGATGTGCCGGAACCAGTTTATGCCGAGTCTCTAATTCCGGGTACTCGGCTGAAAAAACCGGGTCTGAGTCCGGGTACTCGGCACCGAGTCCATTTTTTAAAAGTTGGAATAAAAACTTGTGAAATCTCTAGCGCTGAACTATTCACACAAAATACGCTTTTTACGCTAACTAACCAAAAGTTATGTGGCAGAAGTACCATTTAGCAAAACCCTGCAATGCAGGGTAAGAGACCTGAGTTGTAGGGCCTAACTTTTTTCAAAAGTTGTGCAACAGTTTTTTAATAACTATATTTAGTTTAAAATTATTTTTCTTTACTGGTGGAGCGGGCCTAAATAATATTTTGTGGAGAAGGGGGCAGAATTTGAAGTTCCGCTATTGAAAGTTATATTATGGAAAGCAAAAGGTTAAGAAATATAAAGAATTGCAAATCTCGACTGAAAGTGATTAAAATAAAACAAGTTTAAACAAATAAAAAGAACTTTTTTAAATAAAAACACTTATTTTGCTGTATCTTATTTTATTTAATATTTATATTAAATATATATCTTAAATAAATATTTGTATAAAAATTATATCTCTACTTTTATGATTTTTGCTTGATACCAATAAAAAGTGCTATCAGCGTTCAAAAGCATTATAAGCGTTTCATTCAAAACTAAATTGCTAAAAATTATCTTGTGTTCTAACAATAAAAAGAAGCTATTCAAAAACTTTTTTTCCCATTCTTTTTATTCGTATTGTCGAATTATTTCATTTAGCGTTACAGTTTTTTGTATCCGTATAAATTTTTTTGCAAAAATGTATTAAATAATATTTTAAGTGAGATTGTTTTAAGTTAATAGAACTTTGTGGTTATCGACTACATAAAACTCTTAGACTTATATCAAGAAGTTTAATGGTTAAAGTTTAAACTAAAGGAAAAATCAATTTGAAGATACCCGGTGCCGGGTACTGCAACAAAATGGCCGATACTGGGTACCCTGTAAAACCGCCGAATTGCTGGGTCCGAACCGGGTACCCTGCACATCACTACTATATAGATGCTGTGTTAGAAATATTGTTGCATAAAATATATTTTATAAAAAAAATCTCATCTGTTTAAAACAGAATAGATTTCTTGTAGAAAATGTAAATAATTTTTTAATGGAGTAATTTATATTTATTTTATTTCCCTAAACATATTTTTCTTATGAAAGTTCAGTAATTATTATTCTTTAATATTATTTGGTTCTGTGCTTTTTTATTTTTATTTTGTAACCATAGATACAATGAATTATTAGATCCTTTATTTAAAGTGGATGTGAAACACTTCATGGTAAATTTTTTCAGTAAAATTCAATTAAAAAAAAAAAAAAAAAAGTTATTACAAATCAATTTTATGATAAAAGTTCAATACAATAATAGTATTATATATTACGTACTATACTATCTATAATGGCCTTTTTATATATCTGTAATACCAATATATACTATGCTACAACAGGTAAATGTATTTTGTTATATATTAGTACAATAGAGATATATACTAATATATAATAAATATACACTGGTATATAATAAAGGTATACACTAGTGTATATATGTAACAGGTATATGGTGCATGATGTAGCAGTTAACATATATATGGTATTGCAGTTACATGTCTAATGTAGCAGCTACCTTGATGGTGTAGCAGCACCTAGATGATGTAGCTGTTACATGTCTATGATGTAGCAGTTACATGAATGATAGCAGATACATGGCTGACAAATGTTTATAAAAAATAATTTAATTTAAAAAAAAATGTTTAAAAAACATCTTATTTTTGAATTTTTTTTAGGGTTTAAAGTTGTTTTTCTCAGTTATTATGTTAATTTATGTTATCTATCTTATCATACTCGTTGTAAAAGCATTTAAAGACCTTACAAGTGTTCCATTTTTTGGTATGTCAATAATTTTATTACACAACCACCCCTCAAGAATTAAGGGGTTGTTGTGAATGTGTATTTAAGATTTAAAAAATATTAAAATATATATATTTTATGTACAATATCATTGTTTTTTTTTTTTTTTTTTTTGAAGATATTCGTTTGAAGTTTCTTACAATATTAATGTCAATGGTTATGTTGATTGGGTATGTCTTTTTTTTAATTTCATACAATATTAATGCTATTGGTTGTGTTGATTGTTTTTTAGTTAATTTAAAATAGCAAATTTAAAATAACTTTATTATTGACAAAATAGAACAAAGATTACAAATTAAAGTTAAATATTCGTTTTAATATTAATTAAAAATAACAAAATATAGTTGTTTAAATATAAATAGCAGTATATAATTTTTAACAGCAGTATACAATTGTTAACAGTATATAATTTTTATATACTAGTATAGTTTATTATTAATATATATTTTATATACTAGTTTAATTGGTAGTATATATCAGTAAATTTTTTTTTTTAGTTTTTTTTTTAACTGCCATACATGATTTTTATGTGGTATATTTTCGAAAACAGTAGTTATTATTAATATGAAAAAAAAAAAAAAAATTTAACAAATAATACAAGATATCATGAAACTAATTAAAGAAGACATCAAAAAAACTAATTATGAGAATTATGAGACACCCCAAATCCAATTAAATGAGACACCCCAAACCAATTAAATGAGGCACCAAAAAAACAGTTAAATGAGACATCGAAAGTTGGCCTAATTTTTTATTTTGTTTACGATATCTAAAGAACTGCTGTTCTCTAAATTGACCGCCCGGTTGAAACTCTCCTTGTTCCTTTTTTTTTAATCAAATACATAAGCAAAAAAATCTGAACTTTAGCTCAGATTTTTTTGGCAAATAAATTTTGTATATAAATTTTGTATATAAATTGTGACAAATAAATTGTGTATATAACTTTTTCAACATTTATTCTTTTTCTTTTTTCTTCCTAAGTTTTAATAAAATCATTTTGGTAGTCAAAGTAAGTCATTTAAATAAACAAATTATCAGTTTTAGCAGAAATATATGTACCCAATTCAGAACTGAGCATCACTGATTTCACGAATGTAAACTCAGGCATACAATGATTTTATTAGTAAAACATCAGTTGTCAAGGTAACATCCCTATCCAAATATCTAAAAGGGATTTGAATCTACTAGTCTTGTTTCTCTCTGGACCCACATATGGTATACTCTTATAAGTATATATTGGGTTATCAACATTTTTTTTTAATTTGGCTAAACTCATATAAGTAAAGTATAAAGTTTATCTATAGTTTCTATCATCATACAGAACTCAGATGGAGGAATAATATTTTTTGATATTGTAAATAAATTAAGCTTGATTTATTACATTTTTTTGGTCTGCATTTACAATGCTTAATTATATAATTCCTTATTATAACATAAGTATATGGAACCTAATGTCCTCAGTTTCCCTGCTTTGAGAGTGCATTCTCATTTACAATACAAAAACACTGTTTGCATATCTTAAATTATATGTCAAAATAAAATTCACTTCAGCTTTATAAGGTTACAATAATTTTTAGATATGTTTGTTTTTCTCTGATGCTTGCTACAATCATGAGAAACTCCTTTTTTTTTTTGCATAGAGAGATTTTGGAGAGAGGTTTAACCTGACAATTAATTTGGAGAACAGTGAACTAAGGAAAACCTTTTTAGAAAAAAACTTGCAAATAAAGCAGACAGATATCACTATGGATAGTAGCAACCTTTTTTTAGGGATAGTATTAAAAGCCATGTCATCCAATACTGTTTACTAAATTACTAAACTAAAATATTAACTTTTATAAAATAACATAGGCCTGGCAGCCACTGACTCGGAATATTGGTTAACTATTATAAAATTGTTTTTATTAAAAATTTTCATTCAGAAAACTGATTAATTAAAAATTAATTATCTCTGCTATTTTAATACTCCTCTTCCCTAAAATATTTAGCTAAAATATTAAGCTTTTATAAAATAACATAGGCCTGGCAGCCACGGACTCGGAATAACGGTTAACTATTATAAAATTGTTTTTATTAAAAATTTTCAGTAGGAAAACTGATTAATTAAAAATTAATTATCTCTGCTATTTTAATACTTCTCTTCCCTACAATAAGTATTTAGATAAAATCACTTAAATATATATACCGGGTGACGGAGCAACAGCATAACGCAAAAAATATAAAAATTTGAAAATACGCAAAAAAATTATTTCAGTTCATAACTGACTAGAATTTTAACTAGATGTTTATTTATGACTAAGGTTTAAAATTATTCAATGTGGCCGCCATTGGCATCATACACAAGTTGGATACGCCACTGGAAGGATTTGCGTGCATTGTTGACATCTTCTTCTGGAACTTTGCCCCATGCTTTGCATATAGATTTTTTTAGTTACTCGGTGCTTACATGGGGAACCTTGCAAGCCTCCTTCTCCACAGCCATCCACATAAAAAAGTCTAATGGGTTCAGATTTGGCTAGATGGGGGCCACTTTAATTTGTCCCAGTACTGACTCATGTTTTCACTAATAAAATTTTGTGTCTTTTTTGAAGTATGAGCTGGTGCCCCATCCTGCTGAAACACATACTGACCATCTGGATAGTTTCTGTTTAACCAGGGAATGACCTCTTGCAGGAGGTGAATATACTCATCACTGTCAATTTTTTGACCTTTTTTCACAAAAACTGGTGGACACTTTTTTCCATCACTTGCTATCACGCCAAGTACCATCTCAGAAGCTGGTTTTTTTGATGATGAATACCTGATATTCTCAGGGACTTCCTTTACTGTTTTGGCAGTACTAAGGTATCTTGTGTTACAATGATTAGTAACTTTATCCACAGTGAAAAGTTTTTCATCAGAGAAGATTGTCACACGCCCAGGGTAAGATTTTCGCCAGTTTAACAATTTTTTGCATCGCTTTTTCCTACTTTCTTTCTGTTTATTAGTGATAAGATGCTTAATCACAACAGCTCTGGATTTAAGGTTCAAATCTTTCATAACTTTGCATTGTGGAGTTGACAGCATTGGCTTCCCTTGCCAACTGGCGGATGGAGCGCAATGAATTTCGCTTGACTTTTCTTTTGACAGACCTTAAAAGCTGAGGTGATCGTTTCACAGGTTTTGGCTTATTAAAACGTCGTTTGATATCTCCTGCTTCATGAAAAAGTTTTCTTACTCGAAAAATTACTGTTCTGGAGCAGTTTAAAGCCATTCTGATATCTGATGTATCCGATTGCAACATTTGCAGAATGCTTCGTCTTTTTGATTCTTGCAGATCCATTTTAATTAAATTTTTTTAATTTTTTATGTTTTTTTATTTCTGTGCTGATATAATTGCGTAATTTGTAAACAAATAGATCCACGGATATCTACAAGCATGGGTAGAGCCTTAAATTTGAGCGTAACGCAGTTGCGTGGTCACCCAGTATAAAAACTGTATAGATTTTTTTGCATTTTTTATTGTTATTGATTATTATCTTTTGTACATTTTTCATTGTTTTCTAGATTATCATTGGTGTTTGTTCGGTTTGGTTTAGTTGTGTTTCAAAATGACTTCCTAATGGATATCTCTTTGAATTATCATAATTATATCTTTTCATTATATGTTTGATGTTTTCATTAAAATAGTTATGTGTTACTAAGAATTTGTCAAAATACTTTTGTTAAAAACGTTTTGTGATATTTAATATTTGTATTTAATTTTTTATTTTTTCATTATATTTTTACAATAAAATCTTTTCTGTTTTTCATTTAATCTTTTACAATAAAGTATGCTATTAAATTTTCCATTTCTTTTATAACAAATTTTCTTTTTACTTCTCTAAGTTTTGCATATTTTTTTTTTACTTTATATAAATATAATCTTTCATTTTTTTGTTATTATTCAACAAATTCTTTTTATTATTTATATCTTTTAAATACAAGTAAGCAAATAAATACCATCTTTTGTTCTATAATTTATGCTAAAGTTATAAATAGTAAAGTCTATGTAATTATCTAATTTTTATTTTTTTAATTTTTTTTTTTAAGCCCTATCTTACTCAAATTTCATATCTTTTAAACTATTCAACAGCCTTTTAAATTTACTTCCGTTTTCAAGCAACATGCTGTGTTAAATATAAATTTATAAAAAAATTATTTTAAATATTAATTAAAAGTTATATATTTTAAGGGAAAAGGGGGGAGGGGCTTCCACCCTACCCTTCACCTCCTACCTATGGGTCCATCCTTAGATAAAGTTTATGTGTTTTTTTTCTGACGATAAAATTTCACTAACTCGATTCTCCAATGACAGAATTGTCAAATTTTTATTATAGTTTTAATTTCAAAGCTAATTATTATTATTATTTTATTAAATAAAGTAAAACCATTTTGTGTTGAATAATTTCATATAAAATGTTTCAGTATATTTTTTATTGTTCTTTAACAATGGTGTTAACCTACTGAATTTTTAACTTCTTATGGTTTATTCAATATATACATATTTACAATGGCTTTTATTTATTCACCGTCAGCGATAGCTATTAAAGGTTTTAATTTTTTTGTATTCATTGATTTGTTTAGAACTTTATTTTTAATTATTAATCTCCCCGTTCCAAGGTTCCAAAGGTCCAAGGTTTCGAAGGTTCCACTGCTACAATTAAATAGACTACTATTTTTTTCCTTTTTTTTTTCTTTTTTTTTTCTTTTTGCTCGAAAAAACCCTCTTAACTCGCGAACTATGAAATTTAACTTTATTTAACTGAAAACTACGAAAATTGAAATACGAGATTTGAACCTCGAAATTTATGATTTAGTAGTGTAGATTATGAAGTGGTACTCTGTAGATTATGAAGTGGTAGGCGAGTACTCTACCACTACTACTTCATAAACAACTTTTATGATTCTTTAAGGCAGTTTGATTACAGTATTTAAATATTTATGTTATATAACAATGCCGATATGTAGTCCATAAATTTTATAAAATATACTGTTTTAACAGTAATTTTTGTTTTTAAAAAAGCGTTTTTATATAAACAAATTTAATTATAGTTTTCATAGCTTTGATTGGTTGAAACATTTTAGATTTATTACATATTTAAAGGATTCATTGTGTAGAAAGAATGCTTCTATTTATTCACTTTCACTCATAAATTTGTTTCTGTAATTAAGATTATCAATTAATAGTTAATTGATATAAAAATTAATCTAATACTTTTACAGGCTTTGAAGTTTGTAGTTTGTTTAAACATATCTTTTTATTCAAATGCTTAAATAAGAAACAAAACTTTATGATGGAGCAGTGTAAATAAATCCCCGTTGAGAAGGTGTACAAAATGCATCATTTTTTTATAAAAATTTAAACTGTTTAATGGTGTTTTGCTTTTAATAGTGCTCTGCTTTTAGAAGCTTCAATGTGGAGTTTGTCATTCTCAGCCCCTAATGAAAATGAAGATGATACACTATTTCAAAGGTAAAAAGCTTTAACTATAAATTTTTTTATTTGTTGCTCTGTTGTTATACATTGTGCAAATTATAAATATAAGAAAAATAAATTTATCAACAAATTTATTTTAAATTCTGCATTTAATTATTTTAACAAAACGATATTTTTTGTACAAAATTATATAATTATCGTAATATCTTGGTAACTTTTGTAATATTATTTATCGATATTACCGATAATTAAATTATCGATAATTATATCGATGTCAAATTTAGTTTAATATTACTTATCTACAATTTTGTTTTTTTGTTTCTATAATAGATAATTTCAATTACAATTATATTGTCAGTGCATTTATATTTTTCGCTAATTTTATTCGTAATATTATCCACAGTCCTTTTATTTTCTTAATTCAATGGATGTCAAGATTAACCCGTTAACTGTCCATGCCGTAATATTACGCAAACTAAAAGTGGTTTCTAAATGTCCATGTCGTAATATTACGGTTTTGTGCATCTCTTTATATTTCCTTCTTGTTTATCAGTAATTATACGTCTACTTGTCACAAATGTTATTACTAGATAATTACAGAGCTTTTGTTTCAATAATTGTCTTTTAAACGCGTTTAATTTAATTTTAAAGTTGACAAATAAGGAAGTTCTTTCAGTGCAAAAATCATTATCAAAAAGTAAACATTTACTCACGAAAAGACAGAATTTTATACATTTGATGAATGAATAATAAAAAGATATATTTGATGAATGATTATTGAAAATGATAATAAAAGATTAATGCTCAAAGATGATGTGCGGTATGATACAAACACAATATTCAAAAAGAGTCAGCATATGAATATGTAGAATGTGATGTAGGACTTTTTGCAGCTCTATGCTTTTTACAATTATCATACAAAAAGTGAATATTAGTAAATGCATTTTTAAAATTTTATGTTTATGTAGTATGATTTGTATATTCTTAAACTTGAATAATAACATTTTGTAGTGTTTATTAATGTTAAAAATAGTAAAACATTTTTTATTCTATTGGTTAAAAAACACGATGAATTTAAAAAAAGCTGGAATAAAAGCGACCGTTTTTTAAAAAAACACGGGACTTTTAAAGGGTTGAGTGCTCTTAGAGAATTTTCGATGTTGTTTATGGCTTATTATAAAGAAATATAAATATCCAGATATAGAAGTAGAGTTTGAACTTTAAATTGGAAAATAGGATATGCCTTGCAGTTTTCCATTCTAGATTTGCAGATCTAGTCATAAATATTAACAGCATATATTGCAAGTGAAAAAAAATTGTTGAATAAATAATTACGTTCCGTTCGAAAATTTGTACAGTCATTGATTAAGCATCCGCTATATCAAATCTTTGATGTATTTGAAAATCAAAATTTTAACTAATATTTGCAATAGTTTATAAACTTAATATTAGTGTTTTTAGTTTGTTTTTTTTTTGTTTTTTTTGTGCATGTTTTACTTTAAACCGCACTAATAGGTTAGACATTACACAATTGACACATCCAAAGGTAACAACGTGTTAATCGTAGTTAATAAACCATCAACAGTGTGTGCGACTTAAGTTATCTTTGATGTTGCACTTTAGGCGAATAGGAAAGTAAGAAAAAATAGAAATCATGCCAAATATGAAATCAATTTATAAAGTGGAGTTTGACTAAAAGCTGTAGTTCATTGCATTGAAATAATTAAACTTAACTGATGTAAAGGTAGCTATGAGAAAATCACAAAGTTAATAATTTCTAGTCAGCTCATTTGACATCAAGTTCACATTAATTGATTATTATTATATTTTTTATAGTTTTTTTAAATGTGTAATTGATATTAGGGGATCGACAAGAGTTTGTATTTTATACTATACAATGTCAAATCGTATACGCGCACGTGTAAAGACGTGCATGACACATTTTATAACCAAAATTGAAATCAAACATGCTACTTTTGTATACTTATCTCTTTTATCAATACCTTATCAAAAACATTATAAAATTTATTCAAAATTAGATACATAACTGTAAAAACGTACACTTTAAGGACTCACGTTATATAAATATACTTTGGTGCTTAGAAAACATTCTACAAAGGCGCATTAAATACCAAAAATATAAACAATTCAACTTTGCTGCATCTTCATTTTGTTATAAATGTCTTGTTCAAAGTTATAGCTGAAATTTACAACTCCCTTGTTTTGAAGAACTTGTAATTGAGAACTTCATCTAACTAGATAGATGAGTTCCTTTACATGGTTACATCTTTTGAGCACTTAATAATTTTATGATGAAATTTTAAATTTATTGATAAACTTTCATTTAGTATGATCATTTCAAAAACTTATTTGTCCACAAATGATGACGATGTCTTTACGGTGACGGCGTTTTTGTGGTAATTTTCTGTTCTTAGCTCTAATCATTCAAACTTTTGGAAACATATTTTCATAAGACACTGCAGTAGAATCCGTTAATTCGGACCCTGGATAAGTCGGAGGGATAATTAATTCTCCTTAAACATACTTTATCAACTAACTATAAAATTGTTTATTAATTAACAGTCGGACCATTTTCTAACTCGTACTGTTTTTGAGGGTCTCTTCCGCAAAAAGCTTAATCAGTTGTTTTGTCTTTTTATTTTATTTTATTGATATTTACATAATTTTCAGTAATTTGTCTCATTTCCATTCCAAAACCCAAAATTAATAGTTTATCAATCCAATTCTTTTGTTTTAATTTGTTTAAAGTGAAATGCAGATGCTTATTACCACACACTGCATGAAATAGGAATTCGACGAGGTTCGACGCCAACTCCAGGTTCTATCTGGTTTTAATAATATATCTACTTACCGCAGAGTTTTTTTAAACCATCACAGATTAGGGTTTTCCCCCGTTAAAAAACATTTAAACTGGAGACTTCTGACAAAATAAAAATTGTGGTTAAACGAAGAATAGCGTTTCTCTACTTTGTTTTATTTTCACTTCCATTAAAATGTTTTGTTTTCATTTACTGTGAGATCAGATAAAGTATAGTCTTAAAATACATAGTCTGGCCAGTTAAAGAGCGCTATTGTTTATCTTATTGTTAGCTTTTTTTTTAGAACCCTGCCTACTAATAAGTGTACACTTTTTGTAAACAAGTGCGCATTAAGAAGAATATTTACAAGAAGATTATTGATTTATCCTTGATTTTTGCAAATGCCTCGTCTTAATTGTTACATATTTGGTTTTGGAGCTTCTTGAAGAAGTATAAATCTTTTCCTATTTGAAATAATTTCTTCCGATGATGTTTATAACAATGAATCAAAAAGAAAAGTTTTACAAATTATAAATAAAAATATATCTTTAGTTATAATATAACTAAAGATAAAATATGATATCAGATTTTTTTTTTGTTGGGTCGACAGGTTTACTACCTTCAATAAATCAACCAGTTAAGAGCTTTTCATTGGCAAATCCTTCTTTAGGCAGAATATAGTAGTTTTTCATATTACAAAACTTAACTCAAACAAGCTCAAAGAAATCAACTTTTTCTTCTGAAGCAGATGAAAGTCAATATTTAAATATTTACATTAAAAAAGATCAATGTTTAATACATTTATGTCTAACCTTTTTTAATTTAAAAAAAATATCAAAGCTATTTGATATGTGGCTATTTTAATACCAACAAATCTTATAAAAACATTATTTGGTATAAAATTAAAGATAAAAGTTTTTAAAGATAAAAAGTTTTTAAAGATAAAAATTTTAAAGATAAAAGTTTTAAAGATAAAAATTTTTATCTTTAAAACAAGGATATCACAAGGTTTAATGGTTTATGCTAAGCATATATATGTGTGTGTCTGTGTGTGTATATATATATATATGTATATATATATATATATATATATATATATATATATATATATATATATATATATATATATATATATATATACACATATATATATATATATATATATATATATATATATATATATATATATATATATATATATATATATATATATGTATGTATGTATGTATATATATGTATATATATATATATGTATATATATATATATATATATGTATATATATATATATATATATATATATATATATATATATATATATATATATATATATATATATATATATATATATACACATGTGTGTGTGTTTTCGCCCCCAAATTCCAATCACCGAAACTCTTTGCAAAACATTCTCATTTGACATAAGCATGAACATACAAAAGTTTGGAGTTCGCACAATGCCTTTAAGTGTCATAAATCGAACATTTAAAAATCCAGTGTACACCACTGATATATATATATATATATATATATATATATATATATATATATATATATATATATATATATATATATATATATATATATATATATATACATTTGTCGTTATTATTTGTGAGTTAGAAACAAAATTCATGAACTTATATGTAGAACACGTTGCATCAAAGATTGTTTGAATATATACACACACATTCACTTTTTATATATATACATATATATAAAAAGTTTTAATAATATTTCTAAATTTTATAAATAAAATCCGGAAAAAATTATTAAACTACTTAAGTGGTTAAACCAATTGCTTTCCTCGTTACATTATACAGTAGCTTTCATAAATTTAGACGCATTCATTTTTTTTTATATATGTAAGAAAATACTCAAAATAAAAATAAAATAAAAGTACTACCGCTATGTTTGATATATAATTTACAAGAGGAAGTGAAACTCTATTAAAGAGTACCTTAATTTTTTTTACAGGATGTTTATTACTCATTCTATACCGATTAACACAAAAAAGTTAATTGATAAGCTTGATTTTATTTTGTTCATAAATTTAGACGCACAATCAAAAAAGTCTTATATCTTGTTAATTGATAGTTAATTAGTAGTTTTTTACCCATATTTCTCATTAAAAGCCCTAAAGTAATTGATTCTGTCAAAAAAACTTATATAAATATGACTTACCTGGAATTAGTTAATCATTATTTAATAAATAAACAAAAGTTAAGTTAGTTTCGCACTAAAAAGACGCGAAAAATGGGCAAAAGACGTATCACTCAAGGTGAAAGATGGCAAATTAATGCGCACATCAAAGAAGGAACCAAAAGTAATAAAAAAATTGCCAAGTTAATTGGAGTTTCTGAGAAATGCGTTTGGACAACGAAACAAAACTTTCTTCTCACTGGTGGTGCCAGCGAAAAAACGAGGAAAGGTAGACCCTTGTCAACCACCAGAAAGGACGATAGTGTTCATTTTAGAGCTGTCAGAGCTAATCCAAGAATTAGTTACAGAGATTCAACCACAGAATTCAATACAACGCGAAATACATCTATTTCTCAAAGCACAGTCCGCCGAATACTTATCAAATACAAGATTGAAGTCTGCACTGCTTTGAAGAAACCGCTTCTGCGTCCATATGATAAACAAAGGAGACTAAAATGGTGTCGTGAAAGAAGGTATTGGACAATAGAACAATAGGAAAACATTATGTGGAGTGATGAGAGTAACTTTGAGCTTATCAATCGCAAATCTAACATAACAGTCAAAAGAATGGCTCATGAAAAGTATTATGCCAGGTACATTAGACCAACTGTACAAAGTGGAGGAGGCTCAATAGGAATCTGGTCATGCTTTAATTACAAAGGTGTTGGTATGTGCCGAACATACACCGGAAGAATCAACTCCAGAATATACGTAGAAGTACTGGAAAACAACTTAATTCCATCAATTGACCTGCTTATGCTCAATGATAAACCATGGAAACTTCAACAAGATGGCGCTACTGCACATACTGCATACTATGCAAAGGAGTGGTTCAACGTTAATAGTATCATGACAATACCGTGGCCTCCATACTCACCTGATTTAAACCCGATTGAAAACATTTGGGCTTGGATTGACCGTGAATTAGCAAAGGTTCAAATTTCCACACTTACTTAGCTGAAGGAATTACTTAAGGAGAACTGGTATGGGGTCCCAGAAGCGATGTGCAAAAATTTTGTTGAGTCTATGCCTAGAAGAGTTCTTAGTTGTATTAAAGCAAAAGGCGGATACACAAAATATTGATTGGTTCATAAATTACGCCTTCTAATGTATCGTGTGTCTAAATTTATGAATAATTTTTTTTGTCTAATTTTTTTAATACCATGTAGTTGTACCTAATTATTACTTAGTATTTCATTTTTTTTGTAAACTTTTTTTAAATTTTGTATTCTGTATGTATTTATCTAATAAATAGAAAAAAAACTAAACTAAAATCTTTTTTCGTCATTGTTTTATCGTTGAAAAACTAAAAATTATTATTCTCAAATATGAGTGCGTTTAAATTTATGAAAACCACTGTATGATATTATTTAAAATAAAAAATTCACAACTTTATTTGATTTTCACTTTATTATTGCATCTTTTAATCATATTGCAATACAGTTCAATATTCAATACAATATTTAAAATACAATATTCAATGCAATATTTATTCGATGGAGTTTAAAAACCCTTTCTAAATATTTTTTTCCAAACAAATTTGTTCTTTTCAATATAGAATCAATTTTATGCAAGTTTACAGCTTCTGTTTTATGCAAGTTAATAGCTCCTTTGAATACGATAATGAGTGAACACAAAAATAAAGTGGTAAAAGATGGTCTAGAAAATTAATAACCAGTTCTTTGAACATCTCAATCAAATTAAAATAACAATTTTTTGAAAAATAAGATAAACCTCAACATCTTAAAGCAATTCTGCCATCAATTGGCAGCTTATTTTTACATAAACATTTTGGTTGACTTTCTGAATGCTAACTCTGCAAGTAGTAAAAAAAGCATCAGATAACACAGACCAAAGATCATCTAAGTTTTTTAAATTGCTATATTTTTTATCAGTATTATAATTTCACTCTTCAAAAAAATCTTGATTTATTCTTCAAGTTTTTCTGCCAACAATCAAGTTACCTTTTGCCAACTTTTTGACTAACATATTCTTCGATTAAAAGCGCTAAATACGTATCCACAAAAATATTGAACTAAATTTTTTTCTTTTTTTATTTTTTAAATATTATTAGCAAGGTAATATCCTACAAGAAGTGAGGATCTGTAAAAAAAATCCTTTCTAATCTGCAACTATAAATTTTGGATAAAAAAACTTCAACTTCACTATAAATAATTTTTGTAACTTCTTTTTAATAACTTGAATGATAGACTCGTATCATCTTTTTAAAATATGTACTTTGAATGCTAATTTCTGATATATGGCAAAGATCGTTAATAACAATAAGAATGTTTTTTAAAATAAAATTGATGAACTTCTTTTCCGAACACGTTGCAGCAAAGATTGTTTGTAACAAAAAGAATTTTTTTTTTAAACAAAATGCATGAACTTATTTGTAGAACGCGTTTGCTTAATATCAGTTTATCCATTTATTTGCTGTGTTAAAGAGAAACTAATTGAATGCTGTTTTGTTATGTATCGCTTGAATTTATGCTCCGACTTAAATTTTATCATACACTGGTGAAGTAAATTTGGTTGAAGCGTTTTTACTCCCAATTTCATCGAGAAAAGTGCTGAAATTATTGATAAACTTGAGTTTACAAAAATATATATCTGATTCTAGATCTAATATGAAATAATCGAAGCTCTGTTTATCTGTTGTGTTCGCCATTTTTTAGATTTTTGTGCCCTTATTGGTAGTCTGGGCACGATAAATAAACATAAATTCAAAATTTTAACTTTTATTGTTTTAAAACAATAGAATCAAGCGAAAATAGCCCAACTGGCCAAACTATATTTTGGTTTTAAGATTTTATCAGCAGAACTTGTGCCATAATTTTTAAATTTACATACCTTATAGTTATAGCACAATTTTTTTTTTTTTCTTTTAATAAATCAAATATAAATTAGAATTTTAAAGCATTTAATTATTGAGCTTGCTACTTTTATTCGGTTTTATTATATATTATATGCAGTGCCACCGAGAGGGGGTCGCGAGGGACAGTTTGTCCCGTGCGGCGGATATCCAAGGGGCGCTAAATAAAATGTAGGTACCTAAAAAAAAAAAAAAAAAAGTCCTTCATATATAATATAGGGAAAATTTGATAAATAAGGGCGCCAATCAGGATTGCTGTCCCAGGCGGCGTGGCAGCTCTCGGCAGCCCTGATTATATGTATTATATATTTATTTTTTTTGTTTATTTTGTAATTTCAGTTTTTATTTTTAAAAAAAGTTCATTGAGGATTTCTTCATGGAAAAAATTTTTTTATTTTTTATTTTTGAGGCCCACCTAAAATTCTCAATTGTTTATTTAGCCCACGTTAGGATTTGAGTTTGACATGCCTGATCTACATAAAAAATAATTGCAAAAAAAAAAAAGGGAAAACCCAAATATTACGTTTTTACTTAATGCAACTAAGGCAAAGAACAAACAAACTCGTTAAAAAAAAAAGCCGATAATTTAAAACAAATCCGATTAGTTATTAGCGGCAAACCGAAAAACTTTTTATTTATTGGTATTTAATTTAAGCAAACAAAGAATTCGAAATGACTGTAAATTATTTATAAAATTTTCCGTCTCTGTTTTTTAATTGTTTACACATTGTGAATGTAATAATTTATTATTTCAAGATGGCCCACGGTGGGTCAGATATCGAAAAAGCTGGTCAAAATATGAAAACGTTGAATGATTTGCCTGAAATTTCATGGCAAATATGTTTTGAGTTTACTGATTAAAACTTTGCTTTAAAAAAAAGAAAAACAAAATGGCGGATATATATGTTAAAAAATTGTTTAAAATGTTCATAAATGGGTTTTAAGGGTTCTTTCAGGCCACAAATTGAAAATTTGACCAAAAAAATTTTTTTTTATTTAAAAACAAAATGGTGGATCCAATGTGTCCATAAATGCTAAAAAATGGATCAAATTATGAAATATAGTGTTAAATATAGAATAAACATTTTGTTTCAGTTACAATCATTTTGGTTCTTTTTCATCTTGTTCTGTCTCTTTGTTGAAATCTTCATTATATTCAAAGTCTGTTTCTTCAATCTTCTGTTACAGGAACCAAGAAGGCAACAGTCTCTGGCAACAAAGTCTTCAATTTTTTTGGTGTTGATTTTCGCAGAGATAAAAGGTAGGGGTCTGTGGTTGCCAACAATCTCCTGAACACGTCTTCCATAGTCTTAACTCTTGAAAACGTTCGAGAAAAACCCAAACGATATTGCTTTATCAACTTATTGGTTGATTCTTGAGCATCCTCGGACAGTTGACCAATGGGTAAAATGGCCGAAGAAATAATATCTGGTCCGTGGATCAGCAATCTATGTACTGATGTTGACATGTTTTACCAGGGATATTCTTTGAAGTAGTGTCTTGCAGTTGCTAAGGCGTAACCTTGAAATTTTTTAATGTCAATTTCATGTCTACTCGAAATTAGTAGGTCTCATGTTGTCGTGAATTGAAATTACATATCCATTCTTTTTAGTCAATGACTTCTCCAAATGTTCTATGATCAAGAATATATTGCAAATCGTTTGCAAAATATTCTTTTGTTATAATAAAGATCTCTTTCCTGATACGGTCCAACCGGTGGATCTGATAATCCTGAATTTAAAAACCAGTGGATCTGATAATCCTAAATTTAATAAATCTATGTATACTTATTTAAAACGTATTTACTCAATATTTAGTTAAATTTTTAACTTTTTATTTTAATAAAATATATAATTGTATTTATACCATCATTTAAATGAATTTTATCCATTTCCAAATCGTTTGCAAAATATTCCTTTGTAATAAGTCCGTAAACTGGAAAGTCCGTAAACGGCGACCAAATTTTAAACTAAATTATTTATTTTGATATTCTTATTTTAATAAAAATGTATAATGTATTATACAGTAGTTTAAATGAATCCATACTGTTAAAAGATAATGACTTAAAGATTTAAATTACTGTATAAATTACATATAAATCACTGTATTGATACTAGGGTTGTTCGCCGAAAAACAAAACTTGCGAAAATTTCGCATCTTTATCTACCGTAATAGAATTGTTATTACGGAATTTGCACATGCGAAAATGCACATTCCGTAACGCGCTATACGAAAATATAAATAAATAAAATTCCGTAATAAAGCATTGCGAAAGAAAACTTGCGAAACTAATCATTTCGTAAGAATACTTACGAAATAGTTCCTTACGGAAAAAGCATTCCGGAATGTGTAGTTACGAAAAAGACGCAAAAGATTTTATGTTACGATATATTTAAGATATTAACTGTTAATAGTTTAAATAATAAATAATAAAATTATAAAAAAATGTTGTCAAATGATTCTTCAAATGTTTATACAAATATACCTAATATATATATATATATATATATATATATATATATATATATATATATATATATATATATACACATTAACGGGATTTTACTGTATATTTATGTATGTATATATATATATATATATATATATATATATATATATATATATATATATATATATATATATTATATATATATATATATATTTATATATATTTTCATATATATATATATATATATATATATATATATATATATATATATATATATATGTATATATACATTAACGGGATTTTACTGTATATATATGTATGTATATATATATATATATATATATATATATATATATATATATATATATATATATATATATATATATATATATATATACTTATATATATACTTATATATACAGTAAAATCCCGTTAAGTTGGACTCTCAATGAATAGATAAACAGTATGCCTTTCTTTTTAAAAAGTATAAAGAGGATGTGTGATAAACAATTAAATACTTTATTATAAAGAACGAGAGATCTCTCTAAAGGTAAATGATATCAGAAAGAGTAAAAAGAGAAGAAATATATGTGAAACAGCGGGATGTGAACCTGGGTCTACGCGGCCAAATGTCTTAACTGAATGAGCTATACGTTCATTCAACTAAGTGAATAGTAATATTTATTTAATATATAATTAAGAAACTATATAAAACAGAATTTACAGAAAGAGATACGTATGCAAATAGGATTCTATATATCAGGAAAATGAATAGTAATGTGAACCTTTAGATGCTTATAATTAATATCTGGACTCAAAAACTAGTTACTTTTAATGGAACACAATAGGCTGTAGGAGCCTCAGGGAAATTATATTCAGAAATGGTTATATTAGACTCAGAGTTAGCTAGAAATTATTACAAAGTATTTAGGACAGATGTCTAGTACAAAAAGCAAAAGATTTAAAGCAAAATGAATTATATTATTTGAAAAAGTTGTTTTACGTACATTTCATCATAATTTAAGTAGAACTTAGTAAAGCAAGGGAAGCGTGTTGAATTAAGCACAATGAACTTAATCTTAAAAAAAATAACTAACAGAAGAGAGGTTGTCACTATTGTGAAGGCGACGAAAGATCTGTAGTATAGAACATGGAGGTCAAAAAATGCTATTTTAAGTAAAAAGAGTTTGATAAACAAAAGTTACAATGGCTGCGGGATGCGAACCCGGATCTCTGCGGCGAATTATCACGTATCTAACTGATTGAACTATACAATCTTATACTCAAATTTATATCTTATTAAAATTAAAAAACAATATTTTCTATGATCTATACTTTGAAAAGCGTATTCAAACAGGACTCTACATACCTTTAAAATCTGCTAGAATTTTAGTAACGTGCACACTTTTAGAAATTATTGAAATAGGTATATTTTATCCGAAATATGCTTAAGCTAAAGCATATTTTCGAGCCTCTTTTTACTATTTGCTTAAGCATATTCAAACCTGTTTCAAAAATTTCATATGCTTTAAAAAAAAACATGTATATTCCTACCCATCATTCTTATTTTTAATATACGTAATGAGTTCAAAAAACATCGTTGTATATATTTATTATAGCACGTTTCGTAAGTTTATTTCCGTTAAGAATTCTTTCGTATGTTGTGATCCGAAATACTTTCGTTTCGAAAGAAATTTTATTTTTTATCAATATTTCTAAAAATAAAACCGTAAAAATTTAATAGTTATTATACTGAAAATAAAAATTCATTATAAACATTTTTGGATATAAAGATGTTAATTTTTACTATTAAAATCAGTCTGGCAAACAAATTTTCTTTATAGACTTCAAAACGTCGTTTGGCGAAAATGTTTGTTTCGCAAGTGCTACTTCCGAAACCGCTACTTTCGTATGTTGCAAAATAGTTTTGTTTCGTATGTCAACTTGCGAAATGCTAAATTTCGGAAGTGGCTTTTGCGAAATGAACATCGGCGATTTTAAATGTTTAGTAACATTCGGTACGAAAAAATGTAATTCCGTGTTCTCAATCTCCTTACGAAAGAATGTTGTTTTTCCGGAATTGCACGAAATCCTCCGGTTAACAACCCTAATTGATACATTTATAATTACTGTATAGATAAATATAAATTACTATATAAATACTTTTAATACAATATAAATACAATTTTTATTTTAATTATCAATTTATGCATTATTTATGTATTTATTTATTTATTAACTCATTTATTAAATACTTAAAAGCGTTAAAAAACATATGTACAATGTTTGTATTTATATGTAATTTTTTCTTAATTTATTTATGAAGTTAATAACTTTTTTAATAAAAAACATTTTTTAATATTAATGTCATTAAAAAAATAACCAATTATTCTTTTTAAAATATGAAACAAGAAAAAAAAAAAGGGAATGCAATCATATCTTGAAGATTGGAAAATTGTAACTACTGCGTGGCGGTGTGTGTGGTGGTTTTTCATCTCACTGTGTAGGAGAAAGCGTTGTTCCCGTCTTTTTCTACTTTTAATCTTCTTTATAATGCTTCTAGACATCGATTATAATTAAAATTATACAAATGTAGCTCATAATTAAATAACTTTCATTTTTCAAGATGTCTCGATAACGGCATTTTGCAACTGTCATATAAAACATGGCTTAAAAGTGGAGTTGGTACTAGTAGGTGAATTTGAATGTTAAATTACAAAAATAATACGACATACGTTCAAACACAATGTAAATGAAAGTGGAATATCGTGGAATTCGTAACTTATCTCTATTTTTAAAGCAAATTTTACAATTTTATAAAATATTTTTCTGTATTAAGTTAATTTAAAAAAAAATCTTTATAATTAATGACTTAATGATAATATTTTTGTTTTTTAAATAGTACATACCTTGTGAAACGAATTCCTTATTGAAATTTTTTTGTTTCACGTGCCCACAACAAAAATATTTATTTTTGAAAAAATACGATTTTTTAGCTTTAACGTACGCAAATACGACAGACAAAGGACTGCCGCGTTCGATCTGCAATATAGCGCACGAAATGAACAGCTGATCTTCTGGACAGCCGGCATTAAGTAGTCGCAACATCACTGAAGCCAACCTGATAGTCCAAAAATACCGCGTCGAAAATTTTTTTTTTCTTTTTTTACCAGCCTTTTTTGAGAACTGACCCACTGTGTGGCCGAATAAGTCCCGAGTATTTCAAAAAATGATATTAAATACCGAAAACAGTTTTTTAAATGGGACTAAAAGTTATGATTATTTAAGCAAAAATGACTTTGGTAGAAAAATTAACACTACCATAGGTTATCTAAATCTAACGTAACATTGTTTAACATACTCATTTAGATGTGGTATTGAAAATAGTAACTTCAATTTTCATAAAAATATGGTTTTTCATTGATAATTTTCCCAAATAATTTCTGAGAAGTTACATTCATTAAAAACAAACATCAATACGTGCTTTTATCAAAAAATCATGTTCATAGACTTATCTATAGCCAAGCCCCAAGGTACTTTGTGTTAAAATTGCATCTTTTCTAAATAAAACTACGCTTGACAATTTGTTATTTCTTTTACCAGATTATAATAGTGGTTAAAATAATCTTTCCATACATACCAAATATGTCATACTTTTTGATGAAAAAACTTACATATATTGTAATTGAAAAAAGTTATATTTTTGTTCGGAAAAAAGTGTAGTTGCATTCTCAGTAACTCGAGTAATTGAGCTTTTTTGTTTGACGTCATTTATTAATTACAAAACGGTTAATCACACCAAAAATAATAAAAGTACCTTCCAAAAAAAAACTCGGCACTTAGAGATCAATTTAATTATTTTGACATTTTACCTAAAAATCTAATTTAATTATATTTATAAACTCTTATTAGATAAGTATTGAAATACTTGTATTTTATATAAAAGAATGCCTGCCAAAACATTTCGTTTTAAACTTATGAGATATTCTAAGTTACAAAAAAAAATTTTTCCCGGATTTTTCACGGATGTTTCTTAGAAATATTTTCAGGATATTATTAGAAAAAATTTTCCGGATATTTTAAAAATAACCAGGATAATCTCTGACGAAAATCAAACAAAGTCTTAAAACGAGAGCTAATAAAATTTATGTTTTTAAATTGCATTTACCGTGCGCAGAAAAAGAGCCGAATGACCTCTGAACTATTTAAAGAGTGGTCAGAAAAAACGATAGAAAGTTTGCATTAGAAGACCGTAATGTAGCATTGGTTATTAATAATTGCACAGCCCGTTTTGGTTATGGGAGGAGTGATGACAGATGAAGAAATAGTTCAAGATATCATTGAGGTAGTTGACGAAGAAATGCAAAAGGAAGGAGGAAACCAATTTATACCCTCGTTAATTTTTCTGTTTATTCAGATTTGTGAAATTGCAAGAGTAGCTTTGAATGCTTTTGAAAAAGAATTATGCGAGCCACTGAAATAAACATCAATTTCGAACTTTTTTTGTTTATAATATATATTATATATACAAAAAATATATATTTCACATAAGATTATATATCTAAATAATGTTTATATATTGAAGAACATTAGAAAATTCTTGAAATCTCGATAAGTCGTGCATTTGCAAAAAGTCTGACCTAACGAAAGCTTTTTTTTATTCGGACATTTGCTAAGTCGGATAAAATATATATGTACCCCTTCAGAGTCCGAGTTAACGGAATTTTACTTTAGTGAAGACTCCCGTATGTGTGTGCGTCATCGATATTTAACGAGCAATATCTCGTATTCTACACAACAACAAAAAACAAGGAAGCGAGATAAGTATGCATAAATGACTAGAATTGCTTTATTTACTCGTAAGACTCAAAACACTGCTAAATTACTAAAATGTAAAATGAAAAATAAAAATAAAAAAACGTCCTTAACATAATTACTAGTATAAAACTAAGGTTTACCTGTTAACCATCGATATACTACTTACAAGATTATACTTTTTTATATATATATATAAGTAACGGGTTTTTGGCTACAGCCAGAAGTTTTTTATTCTTAAGCAATTAAATCTTTAAATGTTTCGTAACAAAAACGGTTTAAATGCTTAGATAAAAGAAAGCTCAGTTTATATATGTTTGGTTTATTCAAAACACGATAGAGCAAGAGTCCGTGGCCGCCAGACCTACGTTATTTTATAAAAGCTAAAAATATTCTCAGTGTGTGTTTCCAACACAAGTAGGAAGGATGGTCATCTATGTATTTTAGATCATGGTGGCTTTGGCTGGTAACAGGTACTAAAGGTGTTTAAAATACCGGCTAAACTACGTCGAATTATAAAGCGTAATTTTCTTACAATTTTCTTCCTAGTAGTATTAGAAATCATACCATCCATTGGTTAACTATTAAAAGATGTTTAGTCATTAGCCAGACACTTTCTTCAGTTCTAACTCCTAGCCAGACAAACATATGTTAGCAATATTAGTTTTATATCTAGCGAAAACTTTAATTACATAACTTAACTAAAAATAATTACAGTTTACTTACGTCAGAAAAAGAACTGGTTTCTATTAGCACTTAATAACAGTTGGAATCTAAGATAAAAATTGTAATAAAAATGAAGTAAAAAACGGTTTTAATAGCTTTTTTGTTTTTTATTTTTATTTTGAACAAAATAGATATTAAAACCATTTTTTTAACTTCATTTTTTACTACAATTTTCAACTTAGATTCTAACTCTTATTAAATGTCATTAGAAATATTAGAAACCAGTACTTATTTACGCAATCAAAAGTAATTACTTTCAGTTACATAAGTTACGCAACTATGGTTTTTGCTAGAACGTTTTTACGTAAAAACTAAGCATATATTTGCTTTTTTGGCTAGAGGTTGTCACCATGATAACTGTCAGGCATGATTTCTAATTCTACTACGAAAAGAATTGTAAAAAAATTGCGCTTTATAATTTGACTTAGTTTAGCCGGTACTTTAAACATCTTTGGTACCTGTTACTAGTCAAAGCCACCATTATATGAAGCACATAGTTGACCATCGCTTTTACTTATGTTAGGAGAACAGGCTCTTAGACTACTACTCTGAAAAACATTGTAGCGCTTGTATTTCTTAATTGTTAGGTGTATGTAGTTATGTGTATGTAGTTATGTGTATGCAGGGCCGTGACCGTGACCGTTTGTCTGTTTTTTGCCGACTAAAGCCAAAAAAAAAATTTTTGAACGCTAACTTATCTTAAAAAAAAAAAAGGTCCTCGTTTTCCGATATTTGCCGAATGCCAACAATAGATCCAATTTTGGCGACTCCAGTTCCAATTCGCCGACTGAAAAAATTCGTAAGGAGGGGGGGCTAGACACCCCTATGCCCCTCCCACCCTTCTCGTGACGGCCCTGTGTGTATGTAGTTTGCTAAACAAGTATTTTAATACTTCAATTTCATATACTTTTGATGTTCTCTGAGAACATTTTAAATTTATTTGTGAATTTTTTTTGATTTATTACTATTTTATGTTCCTTATTTGTTTCCACATATTAACCTTGTTTCTTTAAAAAAAAAACTGTATATGCAGTTTTAAAAAATCCGGTTTGTTAAAAAGCTTCGCTATAAATTTTCTTTTGTTTAGTAAATGTAATAATCTATAAAGAAAAATTCTGTATTCCTAAAACGCAATTCTGTAAACGATGTAAATTTTTTCTTTAACTAAAGTGGTTTCTTTAACTGAAGTGGTTCAGCGCTGAATGTTTGTTCAAAATATAGTGCTATTATAATATATAAAATTCAGCGCTAAATATTTGTTTAAAATATAGACAATATTTTTAGTAAACAAAACTAAAAATAATTAAAAATATATTAGCTAACAAAATTAATAATTTTTATTTGTCATTAAGTTTGATTATGCTTATTTTTAAACTAAGATTTTTTCAACGTTTTAATATCGTTTTTGGAAACATTTAATTTTTCAGAAAATCTGCTTATGAAGCTATGTACAAAGAGATTAAATGAAAGATCTTCACGGTTGTAATGATTTCAAACGAAAGATTTTTAATTTAAGGATTATTTTATTGTATATCATTCAAAATAAATTGTAAATTTTTTTAATTTAAAGAGATTTATTTATATTATTTTAAAAAATCTTAGTTTTTGTTTATTTATTTTTACCTACGTCACGACAAACAATAAAGTCAATCCTCCAATAGAATTAGCAAACCTTTGTTTTGTTGACTTTATAGGGTATTTCTACATCAGATGTTTTATCTAACGATAATGTTAACTTAAGTAATCAAAGCGTAAATTGATTTTTCATTTGTTTGACTTTAATTTGTTGCGTTTACTTCTGCAGATTAGATTTTGTATTTCGTCTTAATAACTTTGTTTTTTTCATCAAATGTATTCCCGTCGAACTAGCCGAATCTCTTTTTTTGTGGATATATCTTATAAATCGTTTGTTTGAATATTTGTCGAAGAAACCGGGGGTATATATTTTTAAATAACTTTAAAATGTTGTCATTGTTTGAACGAGAAGATACTCGTGAAATATTGCGTAAGTAACTTTTGTGAACTTTTTCTTAAGTTGAATATATAATTTTGTTTAATTTGAATATGTGCGTATTAATAATATGAAATATAATGTCAACGTACGGGTAAAAAAAAAAATTATCTTTAAAATAAATTATCAATGGCTGAGTGAAAAGAATAATAATTTTTTATTATTACTATTATTTAATTTTAAAAATTTCATTCTACTGATGCAAACTTGTAAGTATTTGTATTTTAAGCTATGAATGAAAATACTCCTATTAGCATCCTATTAGTAGTATCTGGAAGCAGAGGAGAACGTTTGTTATACAGATATCCTTTTAATGATCCATGCTGTGAACATGTTCAAACAAATAAAAATAATCTGAAAAGTTCTTTTAAGAGTCCCTACGCTAGAGTTAAGAACCCTCATGCGGCACTATCGCAAACTCATTTTCTTCAGAATGGAGAGTTGTATGGCTTCAGTGACGTTCTACTCGCCACCCTCCTTGTACCAAAAATTGTCGAGACAAACTTTGAAGTTAAAATAGATAAACTAAAGCTTGTCGGGTATCCGGTTTTAATGACAGGTTATGAGGATAATGCATTTGAAGATTGTGTGATTGAGGATGATCATCCGCTTAATGAAGACGTTACAATTAAGATAATTCATGTCGTTTTTGCTCTGCACTCGAACACCGACGATTTTGTTGTAAAACATTATCAAAATATATGTAGAATGATTGGGAAAGCTTTAAGACACGAAGAAAAAAGGTACCTTTATACTAGTTTTTCTTTTCAATTACAATTTTTTTAAAATTCAATTATTTTTTTATTTCAATTACACTATAAGTAAAAAATAAATGAAATTGACTTGTTCATGATTTTTCTATTAGCGTAAATTATATTTTGTTGAGACAGCAATTCTTTTACGTTGTTATTAACACGAAATGTTTTTTATTTTATTATATTGTGTGTAGAGGCGCTAATTGAAAGTTTCTACCCCTAAACAGGTGTCGGTATTTTAGCACTCAGCGCGAAATAATGCTTGCTCAAAGAGAATGTTCTGAAAAAATATCTGATGTCGAATTGAATCCTTTTGAATCCATCATGAAAGAAAGCGAGTTAGCAAGAGTTTTAACAGAAGTTTTTGAGTGCATGTGTAGCGGTGGTGTTCTCAATACAAAGTTAAATAAATGGATCAATTTAAGCTATTCACTACCGCATATGGTTCACAGTGGAAAAAAAACAATGATAAAAGAGATGAAATTTATTCAATATATGCAAGGAATAAAGCCTTATCATACAATGTTGCTTTTAGACGAAAGCGGTCGAGATAATCTAATTTCTTTTCTTCCGATTGATGCTTCTCCTGTTCTCAAAAGGCTAATAAAACATTCAAGTCCTGTAAAAAATTTTCAAACACTAAGTCAAGATGCTGATATATCTTTACCGCAAATATTTCAAGTAGTTGCCCATCTAGTGTATTGGGGTAAGTGTACTGTAATATACCCACTTGCTGAGAGCAACGTATATATTCTTTCCGAAGACGCACCGACTGCAAAAGATAGCAAAGCAGCAGAAGAGTTTGCCAAGGTTTTCCAAGAACATTCGCTTCATAAAGTACTTGCCATATTTTCTTCTCCAACTTCGCTCGGCGATTACCGCAATATACGTTGTAATCAACAGCAGAGTGAACAAGCCCAAATAGTGAAGTGGATGCTTATACATGGAATACTAAAACAACTGCATACATACGTCATTATTTTGCCTGCAAATGAAAATTTTATTTCTGATGATAAAAAAAGCAACGAGTTAATTGAATTAGCGAAACGTTATCTTAAAAAAAACGAAATCAGTATATTTAGTAACTTTACTTTTGCCGAAAAAAAGGGTTTCCTACAATTAGTAGATCTTGTTGACAAGGAGGACTTGGTGTTTTTTTTAAATATGTCAAAATATTTTCGAGGAGAACATCATTTGGAAGATATAATGTACTACGAAAATGTCCCCAGATCGAAGTTGCTTACATTAATTGATAAGTTCAGAAGCATGCTTCTCACCGTAGATCACGAAGATTCTGCGCTTTTATGAGCTCAAAAAAGACTTTCTAAAAAAGAAGTTCTAGTAATAATGTGTTTTTAACAATAAACAACAAAAAGAAAGTATTGAGCCGTACGAAAACTAAAAATTAACTGTTAAAAAAGTTATTATAAAACCAATTTAATTACTTTCACCGCTCTCAACAGTTTTGTCACTAGTTTTGTTACGCTTGTCACTATCGAGCAATTTTATTAATGGTTGAAGCTATCAAATCAAAGCGAATGCTAATACTTTCAATATTACATTAATTGTTACCTACAGAGCCATGACTAAAGGTTTTGTATCGCTAAAGTACAACTAAAAAAACCATTCTTATTTCGATAATGTATTAACTAAATTATATCAACCAACTGTAAACTCTTTTCAGTAGCAGTGCTTATTATTGGAAAGTGGGTTAGCGCGGAAGGAATGGACCACTTTTTTTTTTTGAGCTATTATATCAAGTAAATCAAAAAGTAATGACAATGAGCTTTATGTAAAAGGTTTTTAATAGTAATAAATGAATTATTAAATATATCAAGATTTTAAATATCAAAATAGTTGATAGCACCATTATAATATTATGATATATTATAATAGCAATAAAATTTATATTTAACATATAGTTGTATAGTCAAATACAACCTCAAACTTGTGATGCTATTTATACTACCCCGATCCAATGTCACGAATAAATGCCATTACCCCACGTTTACCGAGTAAATGATTTTTAAGGAGTATCATTTGAGGGTAGTCAAATCGTCAGGTAAAATAGACATAAAAATATCACTTTCCAAAAAAAAAACTGATCGTAACTTATTACTTAACAAGGTTTAAACTTTGCAAAGAAATACATGATCTTTTTTTTCAGTTATGAATCTAGCTAATACAATTTTTTAAACAAATATTTTTAACATTTAACATTTTGTTTAATAATAAAAGTTGGTGTTTCACTGTAATACTGCACACAAAATTGATCATAATATATCTAAACACGTTACTGTCAAAATAAAGTATACCGTAAACTGGGTTGGCTTTATACCGTAGTATATCGACATATACCGTACACGTTGGACTTTGGCCCAAACGGATTTTTTTATTTTAAAATGGTTTAAATTCAATGCCAAATTTAAGATTAATTTTTTAAACTTTTTAAGTTCTTTTGTTAAAAAACAAGAAATCAAGTTTTAGGAAAGAGTCAAACCGCGTATGTTCTAGCTGTTTTAAACTCTCACTCCACCTTCCCCAACCCTTACATATCCGTGGCAACGCTTTCCTTCCCTCATACCTATTTACATACTTTATGGAAGATAGTAAAAAAAGAGGTTTCTTCGGCCAACTACAGGAGTTAAATTTCACCCTTACTAAAAGTCGCCGGTGTAGTAAAAAAACTTTTTTGAAATAATATTAATGATTATTTATAGATATAATTGTAGGTGATATGTTGTAATGATAAAAATTAAGGTTTTGTATTATTAATGCAATACAAAATTAGTATACATTGCCAAATCAGTTCTTAGTTTAGATATGCCCAAAAATTATAAACCAAAACTATAGAAACAGATATGTTGCCTATTCTTTAAAAGTGAGCTTTGCAATTGTTTTGCAGTTGTTTAAAATTGAGTTTGCAGCAATAAACTCATTACTCGTGATTTTTAATTTTCAAAAAAAAAATCTTTCCATCAAATTGTTATAAAAATTAAAATGGATTCTAATTAACCAAACAATTTTGAATCAATCTCGTGCAATTTATTTCAAACAAATGATTTAGTTATTGACATTGATTCAGATCCAGGCATAAATTACTTTAATGATTCAGTAGCATTGCAAAGTAAATGCTCGTATTTTTATAACAAGGAAATAAAATAATTTTTACGACGGGATCATTTTAATGTTGTTCATCTTAATATTAGAAGCTTGAAAAAAAACTTTGACAACTTATGTAACATTGTAAAAGAAACTTCAAATATTTTTAGCATAATATGCTTAACTGAAACTTGGTATGACTTTGACGACCCCAAATCTTACTTAAATCTCCACCTGGGAGGCTTTAAAATGATCCCGCTAGCACGAAAATCAAAAAAACGAGGCGGTAGTGTACTTTTTTATATAAAAGAAAACTTGCAATATATTATTAGGCCTTACATGAGTACCCGTACGAAAATTTCCCATGGGAATTTTAGAAAAAAAACCCATGGAAAAACCATGGGTATTTGGAACACGTTCCCATGAAAAAACCATGAGTTTTCCATGAAAAAACCATGAGTTTTCCATGGAAAAACCATGAGTTTTCCATGGAAAAACCATGAGTTTTCCATGGAAAAAACATGAGTTTTCCATGGAAAAACCATGAGTTTTCCATGGAAAAACCATGAGTTTTCCATGGAAAAACCATGAGTTTTCCATGGAAAAAACATGAGTTTTCCATGGAAAAACCATGAGTTTTCCATGGAAAAACCATGAGTTTTCCATGGAAAAACCATGAGTTTTCCATGGAAAACACATGAATTTCCCATGAAAAATCTTTAAGTTTTTCATGGAAAAGTGTTCCAAATACCATGGATATTCAATGATTTTCCATCCATGGAAAAACCATGGAATTTCCATAGGTATTAGGAACACCTTTCCAATGAAAACTTATGGATTTTTCATGATAAAAAAGCATGATTTGTTTTCAAGTTTTTTATCTAATGTTATTTGAATTGTCATATTAAATCATAAAAGCAAATTTTATCACACTATTACTGAGTTCTCTTAATCTATGAGATCGCTTTCTTCAAATAAAATCAATAAACAAAATAAAATTTAAATCTTGTTAAATCCTACAAATCTTTGAAAAATAATAGCTATAATGCACCTAAAACATCAAAACTTGACTTCCCCACAATATTTAATGCACGCATATGTATAACATACTGAAAATAAATAAAACAAAAAATTACAAGTAATATAATACTATAAGTGATATACATAGTGATAACCAATTGAAATTTATCAAGAAAACAATTTTTACAAAAAATAAAACAATTTACATGTTTATTATTTTATATTAACTATTTGATAAAAATAGTATATATAAATTTGATAATAACTTCAAGTTTTAACAAGTTAAAAAGAACCATCAATACAACATATTTAATTCAAAAAAACATCAAGCCCATTTATAAATGCGTCTGTACTGTATCTGTAGATCTGTAGAAACAGGTAGATGTTAAACAAAGTACCATTCACATATTAATATTCATTTTTTTTCACCCTAGTTAGTCTCATTCTCCATTTCACCAATCTAGACAATACATCATACAACTATTATATACATTCTAACTAGTTTTCTTTATATACTAATTCATTTTACTTATAATTATTATCTATTATAAGTTACTTTATAATTAGGCATTATACACAATTATGAATGTTGCCAAATGTTAGGTATATAGAAAAAAGTAGCAATGAATATATCATTATTTATAAATACAAATTATTAGATTGTTACCTCTTTTTTGCCTAAGCTATCTGCATTATGTACAACATCGTTTATATTTCCAGTCAAACATTCCTGCCTATAATGTAACTTTATTAAAATGATTTATTCAAACTAATACATATATAAATGTTACCTGCATGTTAGAAACATTTATATAGAACAAGGCAGCAACAAATATTATATTATATATTTACTTTTGTAATTAAAAAAAAAACTTACTTCTTCTTCTGAGCTATCTGCATGATGTACAACATCATTTACAAACCTGTTTTCTTCACGTCCTTCCATTTTTTAATATATTATAAAGCACAGGACTTGTTAATGAACGGCTAAATAAATAAATTAAAAATTTATATTTAAATGAAATGATAAGGTTAAAATGAAAAGATTTATACACATATATAAATTTTACCTGCATGTTAGTAACATTTATATAGAATAAGGCAGCAACAAATATAGTATAACTTATAAATTGTAATTTTAAGTAAAAACTTACTTCTTTGTCTGAGCTGTCTGCATGATGTACAACATTATTTATATTTTCAGTCAAACTTACCTGCTTATAATGCAGTAATTTAAATAAAATGATAAAGTTAAAATAAAAGAACTTACGCACATACCATTAAATTCAAAAATTTATTATATTTTTACTTCACTATTTAAAACATAACAAATATGTAATTTATAAAGTATAGTAATGTAAAAGCATAGTAAATATCAAAGTGTGTGCAAAAATTAATTTATTTTAACTAAAGACGAGCACTTTACATCAGTTAAATATAAACAAATAAAAATAATTGTATTATAATAAATAATAGTGTATTATTTATAAACATTGCTTTTATATGCTTATATTTAACTATGAAGTAAAATCTTGTGCATTAAGTAAATTCCCTTACTGATACTTATAAAATATTACCACAGTTTTCCTTCTCCAACTAAGTGGTTCTTGGAACATCCTTACAAGTTGAATCCCAAAGATTACGTTTATATCTTTTCTGGTTTTAACTCAATTCACCATTTTATTTTGACAGCTTTTGAACTATTTTTAAAAATATTAAATGCATATAAAAACTGACGATGTTATAAACAATATAAACGATGAACAACATTATTTATATTGCCAGTCAAACCTGTTGGCTTATAATGTAGTAATTTAAATGAAATAATAAAGTAAATATAAAAGAATTTATAAACATTATTTATATTACATTATTTACATATTCTAATAATTCTAAAGAAAAAACTACAACAAAAAGACAAAAACAACTTAACAGAACTAAAATTGAATAGAACATTTATCATAAAAAAATGTTTTTTAATACTTAATGAACATTTACGATACAATAAACTTCAAGCATTTTTATGTAATCTAAGGCTATTATAAAAAAAAAATAAAAAAGATCATACTAGTTATCTTTTGTACATTAGTTATCTAATCTTATTATCTTAGTTATCTAATCTTATCTAATATACTGCTTGTATATTAATATTTTAAATAAGTTTCTTTAATACGTTCGATAAATTTTATAATAATAATTATACTAGTTTGAATGTACATTAAATTACACTATGTACATTAATACACTAGTTATTTAACGTAGATTAAAACTAAACATTTATTTGTTGTAAACCAAATAATAATTATTTGGCAAATAATTTGCCAAGTAGGCATTAAAATTCAAACTGGTTTACTTGACATACTTGCTATACTATTGCAAGTTATGCAAAGTAAGCAAAGCTACTGGAAACAGTTAAAATAAGTATATGCATAAATGATATATAATAAAATATAATTAAAAATAATCCCTTTTATAATGCATTATAATATGATAAATATATCTAGTTGTTTATGTCTGTATGTTTAGTTAAAACATATAAATGTATTGCATTATAAAAAACATATAATTCATAGCCTTATTAAACACAGAAAAACAGAAGAATGCAGTAAGTATTGTTTTCTAATTTAAAAATAATCATAACTCTACGAGCTATGACGCCATCTTTAAAAGCGCATTTGTAACAACCATGGCGCAGCTTAAGCTATGAAA